TGACTAGCCCAAGGTCACCCAGCAGCTGCATGTGGAGGAGCAGAGACGCGAACCCGGTTCCCCAGATTATGAGACTACCACTCTTAACCACTACACCACACAGGGGCTCCTGGCCTTAACCTCCCCCCAATATTATCCCTTTTACCTTCCAGCAGCCCTGCAAACGCATACAGGGGCATGCACAAACCCACCCACACTCCCAAGACAATATTTAGGGCTCCACATCCACTATCCAGAGTATTAGCACTCTTTATTTTGGTACACAGGAAGCTGCCTTACACAGAGCCAGACCATTCGTTCATTCTAGACAAGTGCAATGACTTATCAGTTGCCCTCTGGGGCTCCTTGCCCCAACAATACCTAAAGTTGTCATAGACTGAACTTGGGACCTTATGCATGCAAAGCGGATGCTCTACCACTGAGATTAAAATTTTCCCAATTTTTGATTTTTAAAGGAAATATTTCAATTAGCCTTTGGGACTTGTAACCATAAAACACGAGTCATAAAACAGCAAATGAATAGAGTACAGAAAATTAACCCTTTTTATTGATGCATTGCAATTGTTCTACATTTTTACCATATTATGTAGAAAATACTTAAAATACAAGCTACTTTGTAAAACCAAAGACAAACATTGAATCCAAAGATAAACTATGTTTTCACAATGGACCATTTTCCCATATAGTTAGTATTAAATTTTTTTAAATATCTGTATTTCCTTTTGTTAAAATGATTTTTACATTACCCCCTAAGTACATTGGCAATACAAACATAGATCAGTAATTGTCAGAAACTACCTTTATCTAGCGGATTGTAAAAAGGAAGAGCACAACCAGAAAAAATTTAAATTCTACACAGTAAACTAGCATATCAAATACATTTAATAAAGTAGGAATTCCATTGCAATACCAAGGATTCAAGCAGAAATACTAACATTACATATAATGCACTGCTACATGTAGTGAGTTAGATAATAGTTCAAGCTGAATCTGAAATCACACATTATATAAAGTTTAGCAACAAACAACTATGTCAACATGCGGCACCATTCATAAGTTAAAAATTAAAATGAAAAAGCAGGGCTGTGCCAATCCAATCACCTAGAAGCAATTTAATTTCATGTATTTTTTAAATTAAAAAACTGAGTCAGAGGTATAGTGCTGCACTGGTCAACTATGTGCAAGCAGTAAAGCTCTGAAGTTGATTTTGCAGTGGAGTATCAATAGCTGTGAGATGAGAGTTCAGCTGTCAGAGACAACACTAAGGAATTGGTTTAACTCATCTCAAGAGTGACTAGGTGAAACATTTCATCTTATTACAAAAAAAGGCAAATTACTGTGCAACCCCCACCACCGGCTGCAGAACTGAACAGTTGCACACATGCAAGTCCCACAGATTTCAACAGGACTTGCACACATTCAGCTGCGTGCAAAAATGCAGCCCCAGCATTTAAGTGTTTAATTTTGCGTAAAACGTTGCTTTTGCTAAAATAGTATGTTCACATATAGACTGCACAGCTATTGCCTTACATCTCTCCATCCGCAGGGAGGCAAGCTGGATATTGCAATGGGAGAAAAGGATAGGGCCTAAGGCGTAATTCTCACAAACAGCAAATGCAGTTCAGTGTGTGAATTGAGACTAACACGAAGCCAATGTTGTGTCATACATCATTTTCTGCATGCTTGGGGGGAAAAGATTATAATTAGCTAGACACTTTTTATGTGCAGGGAATTATGCTTTTGGGGGTGTGGAGGTGGTATGCCAGAACATCCCATCATGTGCACCCCCACCTACAACCCAAAGTAAGAGGAATCCAGGCACAGGGTTTGCAACCACATCTGCTCTTTGTGAAAATGAGGCCTTGGTCGGGCAGAACCATTAGAACAAGCCTGGCTAGTTTCAGAGCAACAAAATGTTTTTTTATATATCTGGGACAATTCATCAAGGTCAGTCTAGACCACGCATAGGCAAAACTTCGGCCCTCCAGATGTTTGGGACTCCAACTCTCATCATCCCTCATCACTGGTCCTGTTAGCTAGGGATGATGAGAGTTGGAGTCCAAAACATCTGGAGGGCCGGAGTTTGCCTATGCCTGGTCTAGACTGACCTTGATGAATTGCCTCAGATATTAAAAAAAACATTTTGTTGCTCTGAAACTAGCCAGAGCAACAAAATGACCTTAAATGGTTCTTAGCCCTTAAAAGGACAATTAAAGCCCATCAGAGTTACGGGATAAGAACCATTTCTAAAGATTGTCTAGACCAGGCATAGGCAAACTCCGGCCCTCTGGATGTTTGGGACTACAATTCCCATCATCCCTGACCACTGGTCCTGTTAGCTAGGAATGATGAGAGTTGGAGTCCCAAACATCTGGAGGGCCAGAGTTTCCCTATGCCATTAACTCTGATGGGCTTTAATTGTCCTTTTAAGTCAGGGGTAGGGGACCTGTGGGTTTCTTACATGCAAAATGTTTAAAGCAGGAAGGGGGGAGGCCTGTAGCAACTGGGTTTTAAAAACACTCAAGCAGTGGATTTCCAATGTAAAGAAGGCTGGCTTTCAGTTAAAATTTTAGGGAAACTTTCAGACCAGCATTTTGAATTTACTTCCCTAAAATTTTAACTGAAAGCCTTCTTTACATTAATTCACTGCTTGAGTGTTTTTAAAACCCAATTTCAAAAACACTCTTCAGGATTTCTGCGAGGTGCATTATGATTTTATCTCTTTGGGTGGAAAGGCACAACTCTGCCCTTAAAGTTCTTGCCATAGAATTTGGGGAGGAAAAATTAAAAATGGGTGTGGCACTAAGCAAGAAACCATTTTGATAATGTTACAGCAACAGAAAGTGTTGTTGACACCAATGATGTAAAAAAAAGAAGAAATGCCTTTTTACTCTTTTCCTCTGTATTGATATCTTTTCCTCTGTATTAATCTTGGAAAAGATTAAAAAGAACTGAGAGCAAAAGTACAGTAAAAGGTTCACAGCTAGTTACGGTGTTAACCAAACACTCTCCTATTGCCAAAAACAACAGATTCCTCATTATAAAGGAAAACTGTAAGGCTTGTGGTCCACAAACTTAATGCCACTTTCCCCAGTAGGACTAAGATCATTGAAGGAAGGAAATGCACACCATCAGCAGGCCAGTTTAAGTGTGCTTTTGTACCACACTTGATTTTCTGGGTTCTGTCAAACTACTGTTCATTTCACCACTGCCGTTATATAGAGGATGATCTTGTCCAAATGGAGAATAAACTGGCTTGGAGAGTGGTATTGCTACAGCAAACAGCCTTGAAAATCCAGTTCATATTCTGTCTAGTCTTGATCATAAGGCTAGTTAGTTTTGGTACATTACAAAGAATTCAGAAATGAAGAGCCCATTTCTGAAAAATGCATGATAGCATGCTATAGCCTTGCCCAAATGTGAACAGCTTGTATGATGATACAGGGCAATAACCCTGACCCTACTGTTTCAGAACAAGATCCATTTGGACAAGATCATCCAGTGGTGAAATGAACAGTAGTTTGACAGAACTCAGAAAATCAAGTGTGGTACAAAAGCACACTTAAACTGGCCTGCTGATGGTGTGCATTTCCTTACAATACCAAGTGCTACAGCTCTCAAATCTTCCCCAAAACGCCACATTACTAGTGGTGTTAAATAAAACTTCAGAATATTATGTGCTTTCCAGCAGGCTCTCTTTGGTATAAAAGTTCTTAACACCAAACTAGTAATATTTTACAAGAAACAATCTGCTACACACAAGGGGGAGAAATATAATGTCACAATATAATTTATGGGAAAGTAATTGCACATGCTTAATTACCTCTGCAACATCAGATAAATTTCCCAATGCATTCCCAGCACAATACCCTATTAAAGATGCATCGACAGCTAACAGTATAGGTAATATCGGGGGTGGGGTGGGGTGGGGAAAACTTTACTCCAAATAAAATACCTAGGACACAAACATTCGTGCATAACCATAGTTTGTAAAGCCATGGTTTCTCAGACTCATGTGTATGTAGATTTCCTCAATTGCTCAGCATAGTTGTAAAGCCATGGTTTCTGATTCCCTGGTTTACTGACCGATAGTCAACAATGACTTGTCCATTCAGACATAACACCAACCCACGGTTAAGAAACATAGTTTGGCAAAATGAATGGACAAGTCATGGTGATGCACGAATTGACAATGACTTAGTCACTGCTCTGCCTCCTTAAGACTGCTGAGCAATTGAGGAGGAAACCTACATATACATGAATCTGAGTGTACAGAGGACAGAAAATAAACGCAGACAAGCAGCTCTGTACCATCAGTTTTAAACTATGGTTAGCAGAAACCATGTTTGGCTTTGATGTCTGAACTGAGGCTATCAATTTCAGTTGGAATGTGTTTAGCACACCCTTAAATTTCTAGCTGAAATCAACAGACGTGAAATACTTAGCTCTGGCCAGATCATTTATGTTGGCATTGAAACTTAAAGCAACCTTTTTTTACCACTTATGTATCCTCAGTTGGATACGCTCAATGAATTGCTTCAGTTTGACGGAGAGCGGAGGGGCTTGCTGGTCCATCATAAGGCAAGCTCACTGTAAACTCTAGTCACACTACATAATCATTTAAGGCACTACAATATTTGGGGGTGGGGGTGGGGGACACACCAGTCACACATACCTGTGCAAAACAAATCAGAAGGTATCCTTGTCTCTCATGCGGCTCCATTTTTCTCTCTCTCAGTGCTACAGTGATGAGCTCTAGACAATTGCATTATTTCACATACATTCCAACATGTATCAACTCATTTTGGTTTAAATACAAAGGAATAGATAAATTTCATCCCCAGAAACATTTAAGAGTTAGACGAACACTAAGTACAGAGTTCAAGTATAACCACTACACATTTTGATTACAAAGACAGAACATTTGGGATTAGCAGGAAATTTTGCTTGTTATATTTTGTTCTAATCAATATGTACATATTTCATTTTCTGTAAAATATTAAAACACCACCATTACAAAACTTCTAAAATAGTTTTAAATTCAGTAATAAACCTTTAAAATCTGCAATTTATGTGTCATGTTTTTGCAATTCCTACATGCACTTACTGTATACAAGTCTTAATAAGAGCGCTTTAAAGTTTTCTGCCAAGAAGATCCCAGAGGGATATGCTTGCAGGAGTATAAAAAGTTGTACATATCAGTAGGTTGATGTTTTGGTGAAATTCGGATTCCTCAGATAACTAGATCAGGAAGTGAAAGATATGAAGGGAAAGAGACCCTTGCATTTCTGGGAAAGGAATCCAGCTCCAAATGTTATTTTAAAAAATCAAACTGAAAGGGTGTAATTGTCTGAGCTCCTGATGAAGTCTATGGAAATGAACAGGTGATGCGTTATCTCCTATTCAATTCGGCAAGTCCCAATCAGAAGAAGTTCCCAGTGGCTCCTGCCCTCAAGTCATAACGCAAACCTATGCACTTTCAACACAGAACAAGAGCTTTCTGGCAAAACAGTCAAAAACCATATTCTAGGCTGTGATCACACATACAACAGAAAGTAAATTCATACTTTCTGTGGTTGTTGTTTTTCAAAATTCAACTTTATTTTAGCGATTCATACATTAAAATTTTAAAACAAGAGGGAAAAGATTTATGGTGTAAATGGAGACTGATAATAAAAATTGCTACACTAGCTTTAAACAAAAGACAATTAAAACCAAGAAACTGGGGAGCGAAATATATAGATATATATATATACATATATAAAATATACACACAGAGAAATGAGAAGGTAACTGCTTTTGCAGAATTCAGCTATTGCCTATCAAGAATGTGAATTACAAAATTAACTTTAAAATACTAACTCAAGTTTATAAATCTGCCCTAGCAACCTAGAGTTAAATGTGCATTTTTAGTGGCAATATGGATTTGTGCAAGCTGCTAAAATAATTTAAACAAGTACTAAGGTAAGTTTAAGAGTTAAAAAAATCCAGCCTTTTCACAAAGTCCTTGGTTTCCTTTCCCCATTTGATTAAGATAACAATAGTTTTAAATAAACAGGGGTTCAGGCCTTTGATGTTGTTTTTTTAAAGCATCCATGAAAGTTTAACTGTAAAATCTGAATGTGAATATGACTCAAAAGGTTCTGCCCGGTGTTTACCTGAGCTTTCCCCCAAACAGCAGGGCTCCACCAAGTGACAACCAGACTCTAGACAGCATACAGAGAATTGTCAACAAGAGGAAGGTGGTCCCATTATTCTCCTCCGACTCTGCAGATGTTCCTGTTGTGGAGCTGTTAGAATATTGCAAAACCCACTGCAGATCTCATCACTTCTACGATCAAGTTGAAAACAATTACCATTAATCCCTGCCCAAGAGCTACAAGTAAGAGTACTGATTAATCTTGGTAGGACTCAGTGGGTATCCAGTGTAAATAGCAGATCCTCTGGAAGCACCAATATAGGATTGGGTGGCAAACTGATGCTGATACTGAGCAGGTGCTACATTGGCAGAGGTTAGCAAGCTGGGCCCCACACTGACCGGGACCTGGTGCACAAGAGTGCTCGGGTGGGTCGTGTATGTGGTGTGCCGGGAAGAGCCCTGAGGGGAAAAGAGATGCGCAATGGAGTTGGTGGAGCCCAGAGTGGCAGCAGTAGTAGGTGCGTAGGTGTACATGTGAGGCTGGCTCGCCGTTGCTGCTGCCAAGTGGGGATGCACTGGGCTACTATGCTGGAAGGTGTAGGGAGCCTGAGCGATCGTTGTGGGCAGGGGAGCGACATAGGCCTGTTGTCTCCGTGGAGCTGGGTTTCCACTTCTCTCTTGTGAAGCCAGTACAGTTCCTTGCTGGTTCTGCAAAGCAGGGGGAAAGTGCAATGGATAAAAACATTCAGACGGACATTATTCAAAGAACCCGTATTAGGAGCCATCCATGTAGATGAATAATTTGAAGGGCTAAGATGGAACAGACTTGTTCTCTGTTGTTCCAAAGGACAGGACGGAAATTAATGAGCAGCAGATTTTGGCTAAACATTAGGAGGAACTTAAGAGCTATAAAACAATGAAGAGGTTCTTTGCTGGAGGGATTTAAAGCAGGGGCTGGACAACCATTTCTCTGGGGTGCTGCTGTTGCATCCTGCATTGCAGATACTCCACTAAGAAAGTGGTTAGAGTAGATTACCTCCGAATTCTAAATATTCTAAAATTATCAATGCTTATTCTGAAGCAACAAACTAATGGCAAAAGCCAACTCTGGTTTCAGCTCTAAAGAGAGATAGATATTACTTAGAACTGCTCAATATGGCATCAAGTTGTAGCACAAAATGTTTAGCTGGAAACACGAGAGGAAGACAGTATGATAGCCTAGCTTGAAAACCAAGATTCTGTGACACGGCACTCTCCCCAGCACTGAATGCGGCTCAAAGCCTAGATACCACAGCAACTCAAAAACCTTTCATATAGTAGAGGTTCCTGGAATGTGCTGGAAGGAACAATGTGTGGCAGATCTGGTGCACAGGCCTTATTTTGGTCCCAAACTGTAGGGACATGAAGTAAACAGAATTGACAACTGAATTCAAATCTGCCTGAATACAGGTGACTCCCCACTTATGTGGGGGTTACATTCTGGGCCCCTGTGTGCATTAAGTGAAATGGCTCACAAGGAGACATTCCTCGTGGTTCCCGAGGAGACCCTCCCCAGAGCCCAAAGAGGACATCCTCTTCATGCCCTGGGGAGGGTCTCCTTGCAAGCCATGAGGGCACTCCAGTGCTCCCCACTTCCAGGTTCCCCGCACTATGCATGTGTGGTCATGCACAAGTGGGGACTTGCCTATACTACCCCTTGCAATTCCCATCTATAGCAGCTCCCTTGTGCTTCATCATTTGGAGTATTTCTCACTGTTCAGCTTCACTAGTCATTGCTAATGTCCAACACCACAGCAGGATCTGCAGCCAGTATTCATCTGAAAGGAGAGCCCTGATTACCTGGCTAAGGTTGAGCGGCTGTACACCATTTGTCACCACCCGGTGTTGCCGGTATCCTGTTGGCGTGATACAGCACCCTGATGCTTGTCCACTTACAGACGCCACCGGCTTGGTCTTGCTCAGGCTACTCAGGACACCTGCAATGTTAAATCAGCGTTTAGTCCACAAGATAGCCTAACTTTGTAAAGGAGCTGAAACTAGATACTGTGGCTGGAAACCAGCATAGACTGTATGAATTCCCCCACCCTCTTGCCACAATAAACAGCAGGTCCATGTCATATTAAAAATTACTTCTACTAGTATGCTCAGTTTTAAAACTGATTTGCCATGCAGCATGACAGTAATAAATTGAACTGTACACAGTATTCCAAGTGTGGTCACACCACAGATTTCTATGAAGGTATTACAAAAATAGCAGTTATCAGAACTTTTATTACTCCAAAACTGCTCTCTCCACAAAACAAAGTTTGAAACTGGGGAATATTAAATGCAGCTCTGTTAAAGATGCATAGCAACCAGTTACTATGGAGGGAAATAATTGTACAAGTGAAGAGGATTATCCTAAAATGACTTGATAGCTTTGCAAGCAAACTAAGGAGCACCTACACAGAGGGGGCGTGTTCTGCAAAGCATGGTCCATAAAACACTCAACCTAGTTCCAATTTCAAGTTCAGGATAATCTTACTATTCTGAGTATTTAAAGGCCGGTTCTCTGGGCAAATGCCCATCCAAATAAGAAACCTATGTTTAAATTGCTCAGCATAACAAGTCTTCCACTCATCAAGAGCAACCATACATCTATAATGAACACATGGCTGGATAACTGTTTTAACTGTTTTTATGTTTCATATATGTTATTATATTGTATATCACTTTGGGAAGCCTCGTGCAAAGTGACACAAATACAATTAAAATAAATAGAGAGGTAACTTAGTGAATGACGGCGGTAGTAGAAATACTCTTATATTGGAGGGGAGAGTTGTACTGTATAGATCTTTGCCCCTCTCTAGTAACAACTTTATTGTATTTTAAATATATACAAATGGTCACAAAAGATAAATACATACAACAGAGTGCTGTCTGTGTTGCTGAGATTATATAATATACACACACACACACACACACACACACACACACATACACACACACAAACCAACAGACTAAAATGAAAATGAGCTCCATGATGGAAGACAGTTTTGCTGGCAACCATTCTTACCTGAGGCTTGGGTGGCTACGATACAGTCACTGAGCTGTGTTTTGAGAGGCACAATAATGGTGCGGGAGTTGGAGCTTTCAGCTGCCCCTCGGCTTGGCTCTAGAGTTCCCCCGGAGCTCCTGAGCGTGGAAAGCGCATTCGATGCATAGGGGCTATTCAGCGAGGAGTCTGAATCAGGGGAGTCGTTAACGGTAACGTAGCTGATGACATTGGATCTCTGCTTCATGCCCAAGCTAAGAGAAAAACATTCAACTGCTTTATTACAACATTTCACCAAATGTATATCCAGGACATTCAGACACACAAAGGAGCCAAATAAAGGGGTATAATACTACTTGCTGCAAGCTTCACAATTCTAAGAATTGCATTATGTATTACATTTGTACCCCATCTTTTCTCCCCAGAGCATACATGAGGACTACACCATTTCATTCTCAAAACTGCCCCATTAGGGTAGGCTGAGTGGGTGCAGCAGGCCAAAAGTGAGCTTCAGGGTGAAGTAGGAATTGAAACCTAGGTGTTTCAGTCCAAGTCCATCATCCTATTCACTGCATCACTCTGACTCCACACATTTTCTAAAGCACAGCCCCCCAACCACCCCTTAGCGTTCAGGTCAGGGGAGACAAACCCAGCAAGTATTATGTCTAAATTGGTTCATACAACTGAAACTTCAAGCAACATTTCTCCAAGTCCATGCAGATGCACCGCTTTTTCTCTCCCACCCCTTCTCAGCTTTATATTTAATTCTGTGCCTCCCTCAATTTTCTTTAGCTTTTACCCTTTATAAAGACAAAGAAATTTAAGGTTTGAAGGCAAAAGTTCACATTCCTCTAAGCACCGTTTCTGATATCCCCTGGAGTGTGCCAGCTCAAATTACAGTGGAATTAGTATTTTATTACACTATCTTTTATGTTCACTTACTGTTTAGTTGACTCATACAGAACAAACCTATGCGGCATAATCCACAACTTCCTTGCATGACTAAAAATGGTTCTGTATTGGTCCCTAGCCACCAGATCTAGAATACTGTCCAGAACATCCGACCAGAGCTATAAAAGCAGTGTTCAGTTATCCACCATGTCCCAAGAAAGTGTTGGAAACTGGCCCCTCAGGAAAGGCTGGCTCCTCTCCCCAGGCTTGTCGGGGCCTTTCTCCGGTGACCTACCCTGGCTGGCATTCCGGCAGACCAGGGAAATCTTGATAGGCGACACCCCCCTGATGAAAGGTGCACACCCCCTTCCCCCTTGCATAGCAGGAGAAAGAAAATCAGTCAGAAAGTCTATTTCATCTCTACTTTATTTCTGACTGTACAACTGTACAAAAAACATGTCTGCTCGCTCAGTCTTCTCCGAGCAACTGCATCAGACTTCCTTCACACAAGTAACAGGAAGGTCTCATATTACACAGAGAACAAATCCCTGAGAAATCCCTGGAACATCCTATCCCACGGTTAGTCCCATCATGTGATGTAAACATCCAGCTGCTTGTTCGCAGCTGCGCAGTACTCATATCTCAACAGAAAGATGAACAATCCAATGGCTATCCCCCAACACTTAAAAACGAACCTGCTCAAAAATTCTTGAGTGGTATTCCTGACTTATCTTTGGAAATCCCTAAATGACTGCATTAGCAATGGTCCCTTAGGAAGGAGCTAAAACCTCTACCTTGCAGGCTTGTATTTGTTGTCCTCCTCTTCATCAGTGTCACTGCGGATGGTGATTACACTGACTGGGGGGCTGGGAGTGTCTGGAATGACTATGGGCTGGTGCTGCTCCTGCCCTGGAAGGAAAGCATTGGAGGAGGAAGATGTGGCACGCAGAGGGCTGCTCCCAATTAGAGAGTAGACTTGAGATGGAATTGCCTCTAGTGTAGATGCAGGCCTACAGAAAAATACAATGATGGTTATCATAAGCAAATACATTGGTGGGCAATATTGACACTCCCTTGTTTTAAAGGGATTTATACTAGCTTGACTAGTGAAGCTTAAAGGACAATGTACAAATCAGTACAAAATAACATCAATTAGAAGTCACAGGAGGCCCATATCAGTGAATGTCCCAAACACCGCTTCAGATTTTTCATACTCCACGTTTAGATGGCTTATATTAACTATTTCTAAACTACAGAAACATCTGTAGGTGCCAATACAAGACAGTTCTCAGAACAGGACTGCCAAAGTAAGATTTAACCCAGTTTTAACTTTATTGCCATTAGGCAACACACAGAGTCTAAATAATATGGGTCTGTTTGAAAAGTGCTTTCTCTCTATTTTGTTTAAGAACCAGAACATTGGGAAGAAGTCCTTACTTTGTGGCACTATGAGATGGCTGTTTGTTCTTCTTTGCTGGCACGACATTATTTTGCTGCTGCCTCACAACATGAGCCACTCCAACATTCAAAGGCTGGGTTGTAGCCAGAGTCACATGGTTGGTCAGCAAAGATGGCTGCTGCATGATTGTGCTGTATTGATTTCCATGTGAATGAGCGTTTCTAAAGGCAAAAGGAAAGAATGCAGAAATGCCCATCTTAGGTACTGTAGAAAAGGCATCAACTCATTGAGTAGCTTTCCCCATCTTTGTGCCCTCCTCCAGATAATGGTGGACTACCCCAGCCAGCCTAGCCAAGTTAGAGGTCACCAGGAGGTAGGGGAGACTGCCCTAGAATGCATGATCTGATGTTTGTCCTTGATTTGCCAATCTATCTGAACAGACAAGCACCACAAGCTTCCCAAGAGGGATGAGGGGAGGAGAATTACATCCTTAATCCTAGTAGATTATCAATAAAGTACAGTGCCCTTTTTCCAAAAGCCACAAAAGAAAAGAACCCATAGCTTTCAAAACATACTTAAACTTCACCAAACTCAGGAGAAGGAGTTCCACTGTCTCACTGCCAATTCTACATGCACTCATTATACACACACTTGAAACACTTGCGTCAGGCATACAGGTATCAGAAGGCAGAGGTCAAGACAATGCTATTAAACAAGTGATATAAGCATGGATGGGCAACCTATAGGCCCTTCTGATGCTATGGACTACAACTCCCATCAGCCCCAGCCAGTGTGTCAGAGATGATGCACGCCTAAGAAAATCTGGAGGACCACAGGTTCCACACCCCTGTTATATAGAAAATGAGATGAAGTTTCAGTGCTTATTTTACATCTCAAAGTGGTGCAAGAGTTCAATCATTCATTTTGGACAAGTCACTCTTGAGGCTTGGGAAACTCTGCTGAATGGAGCGGGCTGCGGAGGCAAATCCTTAAATACTAGGTGGAAGCAACATCCAGACGTGGAGCTCCCACTTGCGGCATTTGCCTCCACCCTATTTTCAGGGATTCCTCCCCTTCTCACTGCACTACTGTTCACCCCAAAGACTGTGGAGGGAGGGAGGAGGTCCAGTCCATGGGAAGCCAATTCTTTTAGGTCCAAGAATCTACCTGCATCTCCTTGTGTTTCAAGCCTCAAAACATGTAATGTGGAAAGATTACGTCAACTTTTCTGCTCACCTCCAGTCGGCCAACTGCTGGTTGCTTCCAATTGTCTCTGGAATCACAGCTGTAGGCTGAACAGAATTGTGCAGTGCAACCCCTGGAAGTTGTTGCCAGGTAGAAGGCAACAAGATCTGCTGGGTGCCTCCAGGCCAAGCCTGCTGCAAGACAGCAAACAGAAAAACAAAAGGTTTACTAAGATTAACATTTTAAAGACTGGGGAAGAAAAATCAATTTGTTCAAAGTAAAAGAAGTAAGTAGACTGTTAACTTGCAGAGATAACGGCATGTGAATGCATTTCTACAAATAATTTTACAAAAGGAAGTGAACAAGATATTCAGGGATAAAACACCCCCGTCTTCTCTGGTCACGTTTACATCACAGAGGCTACCTGCCACAGAGTTTGATGTTCCTATTGTACTGCAGAAAATGTATCAGAATGCATCTAAGCAGCTTAGTGACAGGCTCGGGATTGGGGGGGCGGTGATTTCCAAACTATTGGGGTGGGTGAGCCTTGGGGACTTCAGGACATGGGTGTGTGGGGAGAGGGAGAATGAGTTTTTAGTATTATTTTCTACCAATGCCAGTGGTTGGTTATCACATGGGAAGGAAGTAAATGTTCACAAAAATATTTTCAGCCTGAAATCTGCCCTTTTGGAGTTACCTGAATACCTACCCTGCTCACCAACTAACTTAGTATACCAGCTCACAGATGCTTGCACAGTGCAGCAAACTTGTTGCACACAACCCATGCAAGGATCTCTGCATCCACACTTGGAGAACAGATACTGGTACAGGGCAGGAGGGAAGTACAGTCCAAATGGTTGGGGAACAACTGCTTTGAAGATCACACATTATAGAAATAAAAAAGTTGTGGGTATTCCAAAAGGTAAAATGAACAAGAATAGAGTTTCCTTGCCTGTGTATGAAATACTTTGGGCAAATACCCTAAAGAAATCGATAACTTGCTATTACAGTGGCTTTAGGCACATCAACTGCACATAAGATCCAGCTATTAGAATTGCAAGAGAATTTGGCTCTCAGGGGTTTTTAAGTATCTTCAGCATATATTTTATAAAAAGAATGGCTATAGATTACAAATGAAATTTAACTTCTTACAACTATTTCTCAGTTACCAGGGTCTACACATTTTAGACAGGCTTTAGAGGCAAACTTTGTTTCTAGTAGACTCTGGACTCAGCTGCGTTGGCAAAGAAAAAGCGCTTTATATAAGTTGTTTATGCCTTCTAACACTACGACACCAGATGGTGCTGTGGAGTTCCATTTTTGCCAACCCAATTTCTCCTAAAGTTTGCAACGCATTGAATTGAAACGCTTCTTTGATGTGTCTAGTGTTAGGATTCTTGCTCCGTGTTTGCAGTCATGAGATTGTTTTCTATCACATGACTGTGTATGTTTTCATTCCACAATGTGGGAAGTGACGGAGACAGGATGTTTTGATGTTACTGTGTTCCGTGAAGTGGGACATTTGTCCTTTGTCTCTTTCTCTTTGCTGTCTGATGAGAAAGAGGAAGGAGCTAAGTCAGAATGCTCCAATTATATTATATGTAAATAAAGTAGATTAGCCAAAATGCTGAGCTATTGAGTCTGTTACGCGAACTGTGAATACTCTGCAGGATCGCTAAGCGTGCTAATGCCTTTTGGTATCAGTCACTGTGATGTTCGGGCTGGAGAAAGCTTTTGAAGCTCCCGAATGACCGACCAGATGCCCTACTTTTGAAAATTTTGGTGGTAGCCCCTAATAGGCAATGGATTTTAGGTATGCTAAAAAAAAAAAAGACCAGGGCTGAGTGATATCTGGTTTTCACCATTGTGGTATATCAGCAGCTAATCATCATGATATTCCAATATATCACAATGTTGGAAATTGGAGATCAGGCATAGGGATGAGGGTAGGAGCAGTCACAGAGATTGGGCGGGTGGGGTGCTTGCAGGTCAGGTGTGGGCATGAGGGAAGGAGCAGCTGCAGGGATGGGATGGGTGTGGTGAGGAGAAGAGGAAGCAGAGTCACCTGCACTGCATGTAGTTTGAGTGGGAGAGGACTGGGGGGTGCTTCAAGCTGCTGTCAGGGGGCAGCCAATGAACATGCATATCCACTGTGGCTGCGGCAGCTTTCCTGCTAAATAAAGCTGCTCTACCTCAGTGCCAGGGGAAGGTAGTACCATGGTGGCTTGAAATGAGGACCGTCAGCTCCCTTGTTTTCCCTCGGCATAAGGCATGGGCGCCAGATGCAGGGGGGGCTGGGTGCTCCAGGGCCCCCTGCACATTCCTCATGAAGTGGCCAGGCACCCACAATTTTCTGCCCCAGGTTTGCACACGCCATGGGGGAGCAGGGGAGAGGGAACCCACTGGGCACAGGCCAACATGAGAATACTGCCTCGGCAGCAACACTGCTTTGACTCTCCTATTCACCTCCAGGGTCAGACCTGACCCAGGACCGGTGGTGTGGCTGGACGCAAAGGAGCTGGCAGCTGGCGCACACAAAGCCCTTAACATAGTGGTGTCCAAACTTTTTTTCAAAGGGGGCCAGATTTGATGAAGTGAAGGGCCGACCAAAGGGCCAACCAAAGTTTAGGATTGAAATTGTTTGACTTTTTAAGGATTTTACCCCAAAGTTGTTGAGCTTTTTTAAGGTTGAAGTTGTTGAGGAAAATAAACTGCCACAGGGGCCAGATTAAATTGATGGAGGGCCGAATTAGGCCCCCGAAACAGACTTTGGACATGCGTGCCTTAACAGGAAAGAGCTGCTGCCATGGAAGTGCAGCTGCCACTGTGACGACGACGACGACTCTCCACCCAGTGCAAGAGGGCACTGCCGCTGCCGTGAGTCTCTGCCAGAGCAAAGCTGAAGCTGGGGGTGTGAGGGAGCCAACTGCTTCCTCTTGCAAGCAGCCCACTACAAGAGGGGTGGCAACGCTGCTGCCATCAGCGCCTCTACTTCACTCCACCCCCAGGTCAGACCTGACTCGAAAGCGGAGATGCCTCTCGGAGCGAGGAGCCAGGCTCCAATGAGGGAGCCGGGGGGTGGGGGCCCTGGTTGCGCCCCATCTCAAAATTGAACCCGGGCGTGTGGCATCTGCACACACCACGGGCATGCTGACATCAGAAGCACGCAATCATGCGATATTGGTGTTGCCTTGAAATCGTCTGCCCTGCTCTCCCTTGTGAGAGTGCTGCGTATTGCCAGGTCAAAATTGTTATCAGAGTGTGATTTCAAAACTGATTTTGGCCAACATATTGAAAAAAAATCGCACAGCCCTAAAACAGACCATAACATTTGTGATGTTACCATGAAAAAAGTGACATAAAATTAATTGAGGGGGGTGGCAAGGGATGGGGCCCCGGACCCCATGGGTGAGTTCCGTGGACCCTAATTGGGATTCAGCCTCTGTGGCTCCACTACAGCACTTTCTGCTCTGCAGACAAAGCAAGCAGGGGTGGCTCGTCTTATGGGACATAAAAGCAGCAATAGCCTCCTGGTCATGGAGTTGCCGGGAAGGAGAAAGTAGGGATTGTGTGGATGTACCAGTAGGAAGGAAGGATTGGCTCTGTAAGCAAGTCCACACAACCCCAACCTTGCAGTCGCCTTTTCCTTGCTGGTAAATGGAACCAGCTCCATGGCTGAGAAGCTATTGCTGTGTCTCTGCCCTACTGAGCGAGCAACTCTAGAGAGCAAGAGATTCTGTTTTGTGCCCACTGCTAAATGACAGTTTACAAGGGAAAAGTGTGGACAGAGTATATGTTTCTAACAACTCCTCTCCCTCCAAATGATGACACAAAGGCTGCATCCTGATGTAAGGCATAGCCTGCTGAGATTTTCAGAAGATACTCTGCATTTTATTGTGGTTGTGCTGTTTTCTTAACTTAAAAAACAGATTAGTGTTTTATAAAAGGTAGTTTTATTGATGATTTGTTAATTATTTTATATAATTTGTTACATTTGTGGTGTTCTACTATGTTATTTATTGTATGAAAGCCACTTTGCAACTCATGTGAGTGAAAAGCGGCACAAAAATACAAAAAAAGCGAAATCTCTACTGACAGCTTCTTTAAAACCTACTCCTATGGTAGACTTCCCCTGCTCATCACAATTAAATGTGTAGTGATCAGTTATAAGCTTGTAGCACTTTCCATATTTAAATTCAAACCCATCCAATAACAGTGGTTTCCCTACACAGAAAGTCTTCTTAAGATACAAGTTCTGCAGTATATATATATTTTTAGAGTTCAAACTGTGAAACCATGCACACATGCCATTTTAAGTTGACATATTTCTGCAATTAACAGATCTACATTACTGGTTCCAAAAAGAAGCCTTCAAGCAGAGAACTGCTAACCCCTCTGCCAATACAAGCGGAATAATTAAAAAAAAGAGAGAATTATGTTAAAAGTCACACCATGCCTCTTTCCAAAAGCCAACACCTGCACAAGACAAAGCAGAGAGTTTAATACAGTGCGAGATCTAATGTCCCACCAGGAGGCAGAAATCGGGCCTTCCAAGCGACGAACTGCTTGACAGAGGAGGGACAAAAATATGCAAAGCTTAGCAAATGGCTAATGCAAACTTAGATGAAGCGGCAAAAGGGAGAAGTGTTGAAAGCACTAAAGGTGAGCACTTCAGGCAAAAGGCTATTAGAAGCCAAAATTCAGAGAGAAAAGCAGGATCCAAGTAGGCAGGTGGATTTAGTCGGGAGGTGGAGGGTGTAAATTCGGTCATTGCACCACACAAGTACAGAAATTAGTATGGGGTGCAAAATTCAACATTCCAAGAATGTAAGTTTTTGTCTGTTTTTTTAAAGCTAGTTTTTAGACCTTAAGGCTGCAAAGAGGTTTGAAAGAACACAGGCAGTGCCTGGTGAAATCAAAGAAAGAAGTGGGGGGGCCAATCGCAAAAGGATTTTCAAGTTGTCAGTGCCTTGCAGAGCTCTTCTCCCCTTCCCATGAGCCAAAAGAGAATTGAATATATATACAAAGTGCTTAATTTGAATGATTTATACAGATCTTATACAGCTTTCCTTGTCAATGAATTTTGATTAAGAGTATATACAGTCGAGTATATACAACGCTGGATTAAGTATTCTACAATGTCCAAAGAGGAATGTACCAATTACTGGATGAGAAACTCAAGTCTTTTACAGCAGCTAGTCACAGAACATTTAGGTTCTGCACATGCATCCATGTTTCCACAATTGAAATTCAATCTGAATTGAATGAGGGGAGGCAGACAGGAGACCTATGAAATCTTTTAAGTTGTCTTTTCAGCACATGCAATTATATAACCTTTAAGATCCCATCCTGTCTGCCTTCTTACACTTGCTATGGTGTAAACAGCAATGCCAAAAGAAGCAGTTCCTCATCTGGTGAGACTTTGGTTCTGACCAGAGCCAACAATGCTCCAGAATGTATCTATTTGAAGATAAAGATGCTCATGAATTATCACTTTAAAGCCACAAAAGACAACGATGTATGTAACAAATGGAAGTGTGCTTTGCAAGACACGTGAGGACACCAGGGTTTCAAGTGCACTGCAATGTTTCCATAAACTTCACTGATCTGATTCTGGAGTTTCCAATTGACTGTTTTTTGGCACCTACAGTGTGAATTCCACTGAAGGTACCAGTCAAATTCAGAGAGAGAAAGAAAAATTTGAAAGTGGACACTTCCCTTAATATCTCCAGCAAGGTTAAGAACAAACTATCCTGAGAAACAGTTTAGAAGGTAAGAGCTCACCTTTAATCTCAACCAAGAAATGCAAAAGGAACTAAAAGTATTGGTGGGAAGCAACATCTCTCTGAGGATGATGCACACTGCCAATGATTGGTCAGAGGTAATGAAAAGCCAGGGAGAATTGGAGGTCAGCATTGTTCAACAGAGGTTAAGAAATCTGTACTGTTAAAGCCGTTTATTAATAAAGTATTTGCCGATATTAGAAGTTTTCAGTGCCTGAAACATTTCTACATGCGAAGAAGCTTTAAAAAGCTTAACTTGTCAAATCCTGGCTGCCCAGATGCGTATGGCAGAGTCAACCTAAGGGCCATACCCCTTGTTTTCAATCAATAAAATGTTAAAAAAGATAGGAGAGTAAAGAAAGAAGAAATACAATTACCACTCTTCTCAGACTAGGAGAAGAGATTGATCAACACACTAGGCTAGTAAAGAACAACAGTCAATGGATCTGGATTCTTTACAGAGCAACACTAAACATCAGAGTCAGACAGTGCTTCAGCAATGTTGGGGAGGAAAAACAACGAGACATTAAGATGTAGCAAGAACACAGCCACAAGATGGCACATGCTTCCATGCCCTCTGCAAGTCTAAGTTAAAACAAAAACTCCGTTAGTGAACACAATCAAGGGAGGCAATTACCAGTACTGCAGCCGTCTGTTCTACTAGCGCTGGCCGGCCGGCTGCGCAGTTCAGAGTAAAAGGCACCGCATACTGCGGCGTGATGGTGGCTACTTGAGGATGAAGAGTTGCTACCATTAGTGGTGTACAGCTTCCCTGAAATGTAGATTAGGCAGTGAGTGAAACAAATGTACTGAGGAAACAGGCCCAGAAAGGCTTTCTCCGCAAGGAAAATAGTGGCGCTTTTGAGTGGCTTGCAGAACTCATGGGTATGCTCTGATATAAATATGCTTTTCTATCAGCTTAATTCAGTATCTCTTGCCTGAAGTGATATTAAGTGATATTAAGTACTCCTGAATTTCAGTGAACAAACTTTTGTGTTTACCGCACTTGAGACAATATTAATCCTGAGGAATATCTAAACTAGTGCAGGGAAGGCTTGGAAAAACTAAAAGCCTCCAAAATGTCCTATTGGACATGTAAGATTGCAAAACCAGTGTTCTGGTACTTTAAGATAAAAAAAGCAATACCTGCCTGTCCATTGACTTTGTTTAAATAAATAAAAGGCAATTCAATGATCAGAATAATTTCATTAAACATCTCCACAACCAAACTGACTTAAAACTTCACTTTCTAATAGATAAGAATCATTTGTTTTGTTGCACTTACAAAGAACACCATATTGGATTTCTGTTGTGCTAGTTTGAGTAATTCCAAATGCCTTCCACAATAGATATAAAAAAGGACAAGTTATAAAGTACATCTTTCGTTTAATCATGCCTGACCTGAACATGTTTGCAATGATATCACCCAAGTCCCATGGCAAAGACCACAAAATTATATTAGCAATTTATGTAACCATTAGGCTTTCTGGATCTTCTGGTCTGAAACAAACAGGACTGTTGGTCTTACCTGAAATGTATTTTTCCTTTGAGTGATAAGGTGTTCTCTGGTGTAATATGAGTTCCCTCTAATGCTCAGAGGCAGAATTACAGCTTGTTTAGAAGATTCTGCTCACATCCAAATAGTTTATGACTGTCCAATCTGCTACAGCCCAAACGAACCACAAGAATTTAAAAACAAACAAGGAAAACATACAGGAAAAACACTGTTCAGATGGGGTCTAGGGGCTTCATTTTGAAGTGCCAGAGAGCATGTTCTCTCTCGGCAACCCACTGTTTCTTCACTACAGTGTTGTCATACGTAAAAGCACATAGTGAAAAGGAAACTACAGAGAGAAGTGCTGAATAGCAAGGCAAGGGACCTGAAGTTTGAGTCTGGCATCAATTAAGATTAAGATTAAGAGGCTGGCATCCAAAATGAATGATGTACACTGTGGCTCCCTTCAACGGTGCTCCCTTCTCTACACTGCTGGTCCACCACAGACAGAGACTTACGTCACTGAAACTGGCACCTGTCCATGCAGGAAAAAGATAGTTGTTTCCTTATATTCGTAGCCAAGAGCATTCTTTCAAGCTGGAAAGAATCACCTGCATGTGACTCTTTGGAAAACCTAGAACAAGACCGAAGTGACAGAATAAAATGGCTGGTATTGGTTGCAAATATCTGTAAGAGTGTCAGTCATCTCTGTGGATTGAACCTGGATTCAACTAAAATGATCTTTACTACCTTCTCGCCAAAATGTTTTCGTCCCACACAGGGTTCCATGGAGAGGTTCAGATGAGAAGCTTGATCCACATTCCAATGGCACAGCCACAAGGTGCATCTCATTACCACACCAACCACCAAAGTCCAGGACAAAAAATGTGTAGAATCCACTGAGTTGTCCGCTATAAGTACACCTTCAGCAGAGTCTTACAGTGTCACACTGGATCCTGATGAGAATTGTCCAATAATTCTATACAGCCACAGAGAAGCATGAGAAAGTACAAGTGCAGCAAAAGCACAGTTGATGCACTGGAATCACATTCCTTCCGGAGACCAAAGTCCAACTTGTCCATGTGAGAGTCTTCAAACTGGGCATCCCACACAAACTAAAGCAATCATAGTTCCAATGGCTGGGAGCTTTAGCTGATCCATTTAAGTCTGATCCATTGTGGAAACTCATTGGCATACCAGACCAGTTCTTAGTATAGTCCTCTCTTTTTTCCAGAGTTTCGAATTTCATTTAATGGGGGAAAGGGACAGAACTGACATATGATTGAACACATGCAAACATGAGGAGTACTGAAAATAGATTGGTTCATTCATGTTCCATAAGTTGGAAATAAAAGAGGCAATTCCAATACATTTTATTATTTCAAGGAAAAGAAAGTTCCAGAATATACACAACATTTACTGTTTATAGCATCTAAGCCATGTAAAATACATTTTTCTTCCACTGGAAGAGTCAATACTTCAGAATAAAGAACCGTTCAAGATTCAAACAGAAGTTTACAAAAACTGACAATGCATTATAGTACTTTTTCATTAACAAACACTAGTTTAATATTGGGACTAATCTTTGAAACAGTCCTTAACCACTGTAGGGCTAGCACTTCACAAGGGATAACTTTATGAACGGCTATTCTAGCATCTCACTGATTCTTCTGAGATGCTCAGAACAACAGGACTTTTGAGACCAATTTTAGGGCCTAGAACAAGCACCAATTCCAATCCTTCTGGGCAACAGTAGCATATCCTTTTCAGATTTAGCAATCTGATTGATATCAAGGATGGGAAACCTACAGCCTCCCAGATACTGTTGGGCTCTAGCAGCAGGTTCCACATCCCTGGAAATAAAAATGTTTATTTTTAACTAGCATCAGCCCCTCTTTACTTCTTGAGCAATTTTCTGTGGACATTGCAGAAGTGAGGTACAGTGGTACCTTGGTTCTCAAACTTAATCCATTCCAGAAGTCTATTATTATTATTATTATTATTATTATTCCAAAACCGAAGTGTTCCAAAACTAAGGCGTGCTTTTCCACAGAAAGTAATGCAACATGGATTAATCCATTCCAGACAATTAAAAACAAAACAGCAATTTAACATGAATTTTACTATCTAATGAGACCACTGATCCATGAAATAAAAGCAATAAACCAGGCTGCAATCCCAGTATCAAAAACTGGCAGTGATCTGCCCATTGCCATTGGAGGGGGGAGTTTAAATGGAGGGGGAGGAAAAACATTCAAACTGGAGGGACAAGGAGTGCGTGTGTGGGGTGCGTGTGGGGAAGGAGGTGGCTAACTAGATGCGGGAGAGGGGAGTTTAAGGGAGGGGAGGATTATTAAAAAGAAAGCCCTGTTAAACAGGTGAATTATGAAGGAAAATCTTAAAAAGGAAGCCCTGTTAAACAGGTGAATTATGAAGGAAAATCTTAAAAAGGAAGCCCTGTTAAACAGGTGAATTATGAAGGGAAATCTTAAAAAGGAAGCCCTGTTAAACAGGTAAATTATGAAGGAAAATCTTAAAAAGGAAGCCCTGTTAAACAGGTAAACTATGAAGGGAAATCTTAAAAAGGAAGCCCTGTTAAACAGGTAAATTATGAAGGGAAATCTTAAAAAGGAAGCCCTGTTAAACAGGTGAATTATGAAGGAAAATCTTAAAAAGGAAGCCCTGTTAAACAGGTAAATTATGAAGGAAAAGCAGTAAAGTGTCTTGTAAACCAAGAAATCTTTAATATTTTTTTTTATAAAAAAAAGTCGGCAAGTGTCCTTTGTTTTAATAATAATAATAATAGTAATTTTTATTTATACCCCGCCCTCCCCAGCCAGAGCTGGGTTCAGGGCAGCTAACACCAATAAAATAATAGTAAAAACATAATAGGGGAAAGGAGTGGGGGGGGGAACCAATTTAAAATACAGGTTAAAATGCAATTTAAAATGCAGCCTCATTTTAAAGTAGGTAATAAATCTTAGCCTCTAGTCTTCCTACTTTCTAAAGGGCAAGTGTCATCATAAGGCAAATCATGGTTACGAATACCAGTCCTAGGAGTTTTCACAACAGGTGGAGTAGCCTGCATAATGCAAAGAAACAGCCTAGGAGAAGCAGCACATTGTTTGCTTTAATCTTTGGCCATTTGAAAGTAAATGAATCTATTCCTCTTCCTCGCTTACAGCACAGTTTTGCTGAGATAAACAGTGCAGTTTACAACAAAGATGGCACCTCTTTCCTATCCATTGTCCATGTTGCTCTTCCTTTCATAATATTCACAGTCTCTGCCAGTGAAGTGTTGGGGGCATGCACAGAAGCTGCCCAGGATTCAAGTTCCTCCATTTTGACAGCAATGCTGGTTCAGTTTTTTACTTTCAGTAAGACCAATGAAAGGCACTGTTGGCTTACTGAGCTGTTTCCTGCTCTCATAGCTTTGGTTCATCTGATTGAAGACATTTAATATGGTGTGATCCTTTGGGACTGTGGCAAATTCTTCAACAAGTCTGTGCTCTTGTCTGGAACTGTGCACGTGAAGGCAGACTCCCTCCGAGCAAAGTCAGACTTCTACAAATCCACCATAATAATTACGGCAACAGGTATATAATAATAATATATTACTACTTATATATTACTGAAGCCTTTTCCATTTGCCTTCTCTCTCAGGTGAAGCTGAGGCGACGAGAAGAAATGCAAGCCGGTTTATCCATAGGCTTAAGATCCAGAGGCGTCATAGGTTTTCAGAGAAGAGGCAGGAATGGTGCCTATTAGAAGGAACTTCCTCAACCTCTGGTCCTTCACTCCAGTCATCAACATCTGAAAACTCCTCTTCCAACACAGCATCCTCAATCTTCCAACTGCCTATAGGCAGAAAAGCTCTTACACTTCTTGTGTGCCTTTCCCTTGGGCCACTTGAATCCCATAGCTCAGCTGGTACAACAGCCGGAACTGCTGGAGCCAGAAGTGATACTGGAACAATAACTGGCTGCGGAGCTTGAGCAGACACTGCCAGGAGTGTGAGGCAATGACTGCAGGTTGTTGTTAGGCACCCGACAGCTCTTTAGCAAAGTCACCTAACAAGGCTCCTTTAATCTGGAGCAGCATTTGTGGAGTCAACTGAAGCTGCACCCAAATAAGATTACTGGAAGTGCTAGGCAAAGCCTGGAAGAGAGCTAAATTACAGGGCAAACTTGGATTAGAGGTCATGATGATGTTACAGAGAGCAGCTGTGAACAGGAGCCTTATGAGGCACAGAAATGGCCTGAGATAGAAGCAGCAAAAAAACAACCCCAAAAAAGCCTCTTCAACAGGTGCCACAAGTCGTGACTGGACCAACATTACTTCCAGCCCCTCAGAAAGGGCTTCCTTATCTCCATTGACCTGAAGCAAGCTGTAGGAAAAATATCCAAAACTCCCTCCAGCCTGCCTTTTTACTCCAAGCAGATCAGACTTCCTTAGACCTAATGGAGTTGGATTAATCTCAGCAGAGATTATCCCACAGTGCCATTGGATTCTGTTCCACAATGTGCCTTCAGCCACCTCCAAATCAGCAGAGCCATGATTTGTTAAAGCATGCTGGAACTTAAAAAGGAAACTGTCACCGCAAGAGGCTGGAAGAATATGATGCTTTTAGCTGCCCTAAAGACTTTGGCTTTAGATTTATGTAGGTTTTTGTCATTGCCCCCCACCCCACCCGAATGTGGCTGAAGTTTTCCTCAACTGCTGCAGCACTGGCTCAGAGCAAATGGGGATCATCTCCAGTGGGGGTGGGAAACAGGCTAAGCGTCTGTGCCTTGTGGCCAATGGCTTAGCCAAACGGCTACTTAAAAATGGTGAACTGCTTTGGCACTGGCTGGCGCTCTGGGGAGAGGCAACAATGGCAGGGCGCCAGCATAAGAACCCAACAGCCACTAAAATGCTGAGAAGAAAAACTGGTTGGTTTAACTCCCAAGGGCCTGCAGTGGTAGGGAAACGGCCACTAAGGAGAAAAAATAGAATTCTTTTGTTCCATCATGGGGGTAGTGGGTTCTATGAAAATAACCACATGCTGAATGGAAATCACTTCCAAAACACAAGCCTGAGCAAATATGAATAGCCAAGTGTGAACCACAACCGCCTCAGAGTGAAGGCAGGAGAAAGCCACGGAAGGTGAAGTGGATGTGAGCAAAATCCTCTGAATAAGCTGCAATTCTGCCTTTGAAGGCTAGAGGGAGCTTTCACCCCACCTGAGAACATGTTCACTCAAAGAAAGAAAAAATCGCCATTAGAAAATGAGTATTTAGCAAAATACAAGTATTCCTGGAAGCAGATATCACTTTGGTTTTTCTAGTAGGATATAAAATGGGATTAGAGTACCAAAATAATATATACTGAAATCATCTAAGCTTTGATATCATCTAAGCTTTTACGAATACAACATCACAAAATGAAACAATGCAGTTGTAACAAGTATTCTTGCTATGAATGGGGGCAGGGTAGAAAGAGTAAGGAAAAGGGAAGAGGAATCGACTTGGGACTCAACGTAGCCATATGAAATCTTGCACTAATTTTTAAGCTGTTTTTCAGTTGTGAACACTTTCTGCTTTGTGTGTTTTTTATCTGTACCTGTGAATGAAAACTGCCTAAAACTCAGGACTTCATTTATAGCTAAGGATTTAAAAACCACTCCGCATTCAGATAATATGTGAGCGGTATAGAAAAACAGAGTATCCATAATAGAACAGTATTATAAAAACTGAGAAGAATTTAAACATCTTTATTTTAGCTAAATGGGTTAGCCCAATTAGGGCCAAACCTTTAACGTAGATAGATTAGGGGGGGGGAAACCAGACTAATTTCCATGCTTTCTTGTCTTGTCTTTGGTATTGGAAGGCAGGACTCTGCCACCCAACTTTGGGTAACTTCTGGTTCCCAACTTTAATCTAGAACAAACCAGTAATTGTATTCGGGGTAATTTACTGACATTTTAAGGGCTCTCCTTACGTTTACCTGTGTGAGAACTCCGGACTGGATCTGTAATGGCTGAGCTGCTGGTGCCTGTGGCACAATTGGAACAGTGTTGTCCATCCTAACAGGGAAGCCAGAATGCTTTGTGGTTGCCTGAAGACCAGCTGTAGGAAATAAAGAGAAGAGAACAGTTAATCTACTGCTTTTAATTATCTGGACACTTTTCAGAGCCCACTTACCAACAAACAAAAAAAAGACAAAGCAAATAATTACTTACACCGAGAAATGCCTAAGTCTATCTACACACTTGGTGCGGCAGACCAGCTGTACAGTCTAAGCAATATTTTTCTGGAATACCACCTATTCAAAAACACCTTCCTTTGTGGCGGTAGATTGCCATAAACCCATTTACTGATTCTGCTCTTAACATTCAGGTCATAATGGAATTTGGAAATTGGGATGCCAGCTGTTGACTGAGAGGCAACTGTATTGTTAAAATAAAGTTTTTCCAGCTCCATGAGAAGCTTCATCCCAGGCTGCAGCTACTGCAATCTGGAAAATAGTCATCTACTGCTTGGCTACTGGCAATATCTTTGTATTTTCCAACTTTACTGAAAGTGTTTTTTAGAGGCCAATATGGAGTAATGCTCAAATAAGATATAGGTATATCTATAGATAATGAAGCTACAGCTCTCTTTGGGATATACAATGTGTGGCAATGCATTTTGAAATAGATTTCAAAACATGGGGAATCGACAACAAAGCACCATTGCTCTACAAAATAGAACTGTAATTCCATACGTACTACTGATGAAGCCAACTTGGGCAAGAGGTTGGTTCTATCAGCAGGCTACTGTAGTTGAGCTCACTCAATACCTTGTCTGCTATATAAAGGTCTGTAATGGCGACTCATGTGCCTACTTCAGTAAAAGTAGCTGTGCATCCACAAGCGCCCTGTGCAATACTCATGAAGAAACGGGGGACCACCCTGCACCCGACTTCTGTGAAAAGGGGCACAATATCTGCACCCTCCCTGGACTTGCTCAGCAAGAAAGGTGTGATATAAACTGAATACATAATAATCCCCCAAATCCAACTCTATATGAAACAATAAATCCAAGTTTGTCTGCAGCAACCCTCAAATCATCTTGGATTCCTCCACTTAGCCTAGTATAACAAGCGTAAGCGAATCAATTGCTCAGCTGCACATTGTATCCTATTTTACTTATTTCAAAACTTTCGATTTTCAGAATTTGTATACTGAGCACCATGCTAGAGTTTTACTTTTAACTCTTAAAACATGAAAAGTGTCAAATTATATCTTAGTGGCATATATGTAATATATGTGCACCTTAGGTGTTATAGCTTTAAAACTACTATATATTATTTTTGTAAATAGTATGGAAAGACCCCAACACACACACACACACACACACACACACACACACTTACTTTGAAAAGCAGGAGGACACACAATGAAAGTTTGCTGAAATGGATCCGTTTGGGTGCAGATCTGAGTGGTTCCAGGCTGTAAGGAAACACTCTGCTGTGCCACACCAGTAACTGGTGCTGCAGATGATGGGTAGAGAGCAGACTGATAATTCAGCAGTGAAACATCTGAATTTGCCAGAGAGAGAGTAGCAGCAGCTGTAGAATTTGAAGCCAACACACTAGCCTGGAAAACAGGAACATTCATCATTAGAACCAAAACATGTCTTTTGCTGAAGCATTTGAAAATCAACCACAAAACCAATACAAAATCCAGAGTAGCTTTCCGCTCACTTTAACCCAACTTTCTGTCTCGGTGACATATTTTACAGATCAGCTGGTGAGCAGTATAATACTAAACAGCTAATTAGCTACAATGGGAAAGGGTGAGGGATGAAGGCAGGTCACAGGAGAGCTGCTCCGAGAGGTCCAAGACCATGGTGAGCTTTAAAGGTCAATGCCTGAATTGGGTATGGAACTCATAAGGCAGCCACTGCAAAGCGGTAGCTGCCGATTACATATAGCATTGATTTCAGATTAAATTCATGATTAATAATCTAGAATAACATCTAGATTAAGGTGAGTCACTCCAGGAAATGACGGAAGCAGTTTTTATTGGTTTTCATTCCTAATAATAATAATAATGAACTAATTACCTGATGGTGCACAGTATTGAGCTGGTTGTTGAAACTCATGGTGAGGTTTGTGCTTGTGTTCGGTGCAACATGTGTTGTGAATGGGCTTTTTATCTGATTAACTGTGTCATACATATTCACTCTTCGCTTGCATATCTCCATGTTCTGAAAGCAGGATTTCACACTAAAAGGAAAATGAGATGTCAAAGAGATTTGTTTGGCTGTGAAACTAGTTAATTACCAAGCATGTAAGGCTATGTGTGCTATGCTTCTGCACCTTATTTTAACATGCATCAATATAACCATGAGTGCCATCCTCCCTCCTTCAAAATCCTGAAGTTCAAACAGTAATGATCAGGGATTAGGAACCCGTGTTTATCCAGATGTTGCTGGACTCAAAGCCCCATCAACCCCATCCAGCATGGCAAATGGTCAGGGATAATCAGAAGTTGTAGTGCAACAACATCTAGAAGGCCAGATGCTCCCAATCCTAACGGTATACTTTTGGGGTGGCTGCCAAGCATCCACTTTATATCTGGAATATAAAGATTCTGATTATGAGAAATCTAAGGTTTTGGTGGAATAAGTAGCTGCAACAACTTTTTTTTTTTTATAACTCCACTGAGGTAATACATACACTTTGGGAATTCCTTTGATTAAATCAAGTTTGCTCTAATTTGAATTTATTTTGTGTTAATGAGAACTTCTAGAAGGCTTTCATATGCTTTATTTTTTACTTGTCTCAACCTTGAGGGAGGGACAGGCTACAAGCGTGAATGAATAAATGAACAAACAATGTTTCAAACATCTGTCAGAAACTTACTGGTTGCTATGTGGGAAATCCAGTAGATGGTTCATTGTCACAAACTGATGGTTCAAAGTCTTCAGCGGAGTAATTCTCTTATCTGCATCAATTGTCAACATTTTCTTTAACAAATCAATGTACTCCCTTCGATCCGCCTTCTCTGCCAACATGTCTGTTCCCTCTAAATCTGTAGACATATTTACCTTGTAGGAGAAAAAAATTAGAACTTGATCTTTGCTGCATAAACCATTGACTCTATAGCAGGGAAATTACTAGATACACAAAATGCATTTATTCTCAGAATGCAGAATCATTTCAACTTTAGACTCAGGATCTCATTCCTCCCTCTTCTGGTTTCTCTAATATATGGATGTGGGGGGGGGGGGAGGAATCACACTGTTATATTACTTAAAAGAGCATGTTGAATAGAAGTGAAAATGAAATCTTACTCATGTTTACTCAGAAATAAGACCCAGTGAGTTCACTGGGGCTTACTCCCAAGAAGAGGGCACAGAATTGCAAACTTAATTCCTGAGGAAGGGAATATAATTGATTCCTATGTAGAGCAAGTGTAAAATACTACTGCTCTGGGTAATTATGCTTGTAGTATAAAAGGCATCATTATTTTTCTCAGCAGCTCACCTGCGCCATGTCATCCAAACAGTTGAAAATGTACTTCCGAGCTTCCTTTGATTTTATTCCCGTCTCTAATTCATGTTCCTCTGGAGTCTATCAAATAAAATACATGTTACAAGCAACTCTAACAGGGTTTTAGAGTTCAGTGCAATAAAAGCAAAGCTAGGTCAACAAGCAATCAGCCATTGACAAATGGAATGCCCTATGAAGCAGAAATGATAGGCCATCATAACCTTGCTACCTAAGCTTGTGAAAAATGACACTGTGCCAAATTAATGTTCTCATCTATATTCTCAAGGACAAATACAAGCCAACCTGAGCAAAGTATCAGATATTTTACAACGCAGCCATAATGTGAAGCTTCAGATGTTTCTAAACAGTAGTTCAAACTCTGAAAGGTGATTTTAAATCACTGGATGGCTTTACAGCAAAGGGGATTGCAAAAGTGATTTTCTGACAGTATATCTTTTAGCAAAAAGAGGGTTTGTCACTGAAAAATTTTCTGAGAACTAATGTTAATGGCCTTAAATTTTCTAATAAGATGTTATTTTGCTGGTGACAAAGAGAGCCTTCTGTGCATGAATCTTTGTAACTCTCTAAAAGTGCTCTCTTTTCCTATAACATTCAGCTGAACAAGTTAGTTGTTTTAAATTGTTTTTGACTTTGTTTTGAAAGCTGTAACCCACCATGGGACCTTATGGCAAAGGGCAGACATTAATTAAATTAATAATACTTAAAAAATGAATGTAATTAAAATCAAGAATATATATTTTTTTAAGTCCTCGAAGGTAAATGGCGTTAGGTCTCCAACCAAAGTTATCTTAACCTAGTGGTGAACATGCAATAACTAAAGGTTTTTCCTCTACATAAGCTGCAATACTGCTCTTACGACAATAAATTGAATGTCTGAAAAAAAATAAAAACCTTTAGTCTCCACAATGGGTATCCCAAGTTTGGATCTCTGTTAAAAAACCTGCTTGTTTTCGTTCCTGCACTCAGTAAGTACTCAGCTGGAAGTCCTTGCGTTTGTGAAATGTAACGAATCTGCAATGGAAAAAAGAAGTAATCTATGATAAAGGCAGAATGCTGTGTAAATAGTTACATGCATTTCCTTCCAGAGGAAGGAAAACATACAGTGGGATCTTTTCTTTTCTTTTAAACTGCCTCAGTCAATATTCACTTAACAGATTACCACGCTGAAGCAAATACATTTCTTTGCAAACCTTAGTTGTTTAATATATTTTACTGCATTATCCAGTTCCAACCATATCTTGCGTCAGATTCCCAATTTCTTGTTAGGGCTGAACTGATTTCTAGCCTGGACCCAGGAAACAATCAGTTCCAGTGGATTCCAGTGTGGTGTCAATGAACTCTGATGGCTCCACAACATCTTGTGCAAGCATCTCAGAGCTGGGGCGTTGAGAAGGCCTTGTCCCACAAGCAAGGCACAGAGCTTAAATGCTCTCATGTGCTGGGTAACCTGAGCAGACCTGGTGCTCTACTTGCCTGCATTTAATTTGTGCAATTTTAACCAGCCTACTTTCAACAGCATATGATTAAAATCAATTGTACTGTATGTCCAAACCAGGGGTCATGGGTTGTTTCACTCCAAGCAAACCACGTCCAAGGTTTGTTCATTGGTGCCACTATAAAATGTGATTTATTTGTCCTGAAGGAAAGAATATAGCCCAGACCAATGGATTCATGGTAAACCATGAACAATGGTGTAATTGGAAATGGCAGTGAAAAAATGTGTGTGCCTTGATCAGAAGGAACCACATGACCCTCATCTACCCACCCAAATGAACATTCAAAAGAGCTGAGGGGGAAAAGTGCTCACTGAGCTGGTCCCACCAAGATGGACAGGCCAGGTATCTTGAACTGCAACTGTCTAAAAGTATGCCTGTAGTCAGCTTAAGCAGAGGTAGGAGGGAGCAGCACTGATTCAGGCAAAGCACCACATCAGTGAATATGTCCCATCCTCCTCCATCAGCAGAGAGGTGTTGTCATGGCCAGGGCAGAAGTCAGAATGTCAGCATATTATGTTATCTACCAGTAACCTATCCATTCAAAAGAAGTTTATACAGTTGGGTGATTTATATAATCCTGTAATTTCTGGTCTTGGGTATTGGAACTGAATGAGGCAATGCAAAGCACTACAACTAACCAGTGCTTCTCGCATGTGTCCATCTGAAAACAGTAGGACTATTGATCTAATCCAGCTCTCTAGATCAATTGTACAGTGCTCATGAATTAGATGTTTATAATCCAATCACAAATGCATTTGCAGTGCAATCCTAACATTATTTCCTCAGAGGCAAGCCTCAATGAGTACAATGGCACTTATTCCCGATTGAATCTGCTTAGGACTGCAGGCTTAAATACCATGAAATCAGCTTAGGGCACCTTTTTGTTTATAAGAGTGTGGCTAAATTTGGACAGGCATTATCAAGTGCTAAAGTGATATTAAATCCAGTTCCAAATATGAATTCAGATTTGAATGTAAACTATATAAATATCTACACAAACTTGCCTGATCATATTCTGATGCTCCTGGGTACAGTGGCCAACCAAGAAACAGCTCAGCTATCACACAGCCCAGCGACCACATATCAATAGCTTCACAAAATGGCAAACCAAGGATGATTTCAGGAGCTCTGAAAAACATGCAATAGTATATTTGATTACTAACAACTTCACAAATCCCATAAACTTGACTGAATTAAAAAGTTTAGATTATCAAATGTATAGCCAAGAATGAATGAGGAAAAGTGATAGCAAAACCAATAATCAGTGCTATGGCATCTTAAAGACTTAAAACATTTAATACAGCACCCAGATAATGTATGGCATCTGGTAAAGTGTGCTCTGTCCTACAAATACTTATACCATAACGACGTTCCTAGCCTGTAAGGTGCTGCAGTATTCCGTTGCTTTTAGTGCAAAAGAGTATCATTGATCACCCTCTGAAATCTATGAAAACTGATACAATTATCTCAAAGTACATTTTTCTTCTTTAATAAATGGAACTAGCAATACACATAGTTTCTATAATACCAGCACAATGCAGTCTTCTATTCAATGAGTTCAACTTGGGTAGCCTAACAGAGCCATAGGGGTTATAACAACTGCTGTCCCTCTGGTGACGGGGGGACTCTTTGATCCAGAGATGCTCTAGACTAGAGGTTTGAGGAACCCTCTGAAACAGGGTTTGAGGTGGCACAAGGTACTGCCGAGGGTTACTGCCAAATATCGCTTCAATCCCCATTCTGCTGACAGACTGTTCCTCTGGATCAAATAGATTTAATACAACAACACTTCCCAAACATAAGCACCATATACTTCAAAGTAAAGCTTTTATGTCCGATGGTGTTTACTCTGTGGGCACAGAATCATGAGTTTTCCACACAAACAACCTTTGGCTGTATGCACTCACATTTGGGATAACTCAACGAATTAAATTCAATAGGAATAGCTCCTAAGTAATTATTGCTAAGGTATAAGATCAGCCTGTTTATGTTTTAAAGGCAATACAGTGAGAAAATGATCTGACAAATTTAGCACACAATTCACTACATCATTTAATTTCATACAGCTTAAGTCCAGTGAGTAAGACAAACATGGCTACGCTGGAAAATAACAACTTCATTGCCAGATCTATAGGATTATTAAAGGTTTTATCCCCAAAACAGAAGGAACATGTTGAGAAATGTGGTCGTAAACTTAAGCTGCAGTTGACCACCAAGTCCAACCTCTCTACCCAGCTCCATGTTTCTTTACCTAGTTTCCTTTCCTTTAGGAAAACAGTGGTTATCCTATGTCACTCAGTGAGTTCTAAGGAGGAATTTGAAACTATGCCCAAATTCATTATCCAGTGAGCCATACACTGACCACACAAAAATGACAAGAGATCCCAGTGTTGGGTTGAAACACTACCCTAACACACACACCCAAGCATTGCAGGTATTAATCATCTTACAAGCTAGTCATATTCTCCCAGCAAACACAGGAAAATCAACGAAGTCACCAACTCAACCATGTGTGATATCAAGATGGACAGCAGTTGCCATTGAACTATTTGTGTCAATCACCAAACCAAGTAGTAGATCAAATTCCCCTCCTTGTTCTAAATATATTTTGTTTAGATAACCAGCTGCATATTGTTATTTTCAGAGGCTTATAAAAGGAATGAAGTGTTTATACATGAAAGGTGCTGGGAGGAAGTAGATCACAATCCTTGTCTTCACAGTACATTTGAACATGGGATTATGGATTATTGGAACTGAAAATCAGTCCTTTATTCTTATCTTACTAATCATGACTTGTTGGGAACAACCAACTCACAATACTGCTGGATCAGTCCATCAACATCTGATGGATGATTTATTAGGATTGGGTCCAGCATCACTTTCGCTGTGCGTGTGTGCCAGTATCCATACTCGGCAGAGTTACATCTCAACACAGCTCCTTCCTGGGAAGTGTCTTCGGGGTTGAAGGTACACACAGTAGACAATAAATACTCACGGATGCCATAAAGATTCAGTCAAGTGTAGAAGTTTACTTGACAGGTATAAAAGCATATTGGTAGCAAATATATATATATATATATATATATATATATATATATACACACACACACACACACACACACACACACACAGGCATTCAGCACTGCTGTGGTCAAGGCAGCGAAAGTGATGCCAGACCCAATACGTCTAAAACATCCATCAGACGTTGATGGATTGATCCAACAAATATCTGGTTCAGAAATATCAATCCAGAGATCATGGCTTGCTTTTCCCAAAAGCCAGGAAGAGCAATGCAGGCATGATTTCACTTGTGCACAGCAAGCCATGGTTTATGCTTATGACAACATGACTACTGGGTACCCATTTGAATATTGCAGCTGCCTGACAAATCTGATACAAACATCTGAGCTTCCCAACACAGATACCAAAATTTTAACACCAAGAGTGTGGCTTACAAGTGCCAACGGCTATATGCCAGGTTGAACTCAAACTTGGGCACATCCAGAGTGATCTCAAACCCTTAAAATGTTTTAAGTGCTTATTCATGTGGCAAGGATGACTACCATTGGAGAAATATCAATTCCCCTTGGGGATTTGTGTGGGCTTTTGAATTCTGGCTATGTTATTCAATCTACTGCATTTTACATACCAAATTCTAGAAGCATAGAAGTTCTTTTTCTAAATGTCAAATAATGACATTTTTCCCCCCTTGGCATCTGCAGTCTGCTTGAAGCAGTCAGGCTTCTGAGTTCTCACTCAACTTTATCAACCCAGTTATTTGCAAAATATCTGTAAATATCTTTCAAGTTGAAAACACAAATGGAAAAGAAACAGGAAAGGATAAATGGGAAGCAGACAGAAAGCAGACAGGCATGATTTAAGGAGACAATTTACCTATCAAGTGCCACAGGATGAATGCCATGCAAAAAAAACCAAAACCCTGTTGTTTAAATAAATGAAATGGGTACTTACCTATAATAGCGTGACTGCAAGTAAGTAGAACACACAGCTTTCGACACATGACTTGCAGAGCCAAAGTCTATGACCTTCACCCTATATGGCTGGCGTACAGGATCAACCAGCATGATGTTCTCAGGCTTCAGGTCAGCATGTATTAGACCCAGGCTTTTCAGTTTCATCAAGGCAGTGGCCACCTGCTGCAAAATTGGCCGAATGTATTTCAGAGGCAGGGGGCTAAACTTATTTTGTTTTAAGAAGTCGTACAAGTTTTGTTCCAGCATCTCAAACACCAGGCATGTGTGGTTTTTATGTTGAAAACACTCATAAGAGCGGACAAAGTTGTATTCATCAGCATTCTCACTACTCAGCCGGGACAGGATACTCACTTCAATCTGCCCCTGCCTGGCATAGGAAGGGTGGTTTTTCAGGATTTTGATAGCTACAATCTCCTTGGTGCTCCGCTTCCAGCATTTTGCCACCTGCCCAAAGGTCCCTCGGCCCAAGAACTCCAGGACTTCATAGCTGTTTGTCATGGAACAAAGGATTTCATGCTGGACCAGCTGGTAATCCCCTTCGCCACTGGAACTACTGCTTTTCGTTGTTACAGTGGTGGTAGTGGCCGCAGCACCCACCGCAGGTCTGTTTTGCAGCATGAGAGGTGGATGTTCCTCAATAATTTGCACGCTACCGTTGCTGTCAACTTCCTCACTTTTCCTTTTTAATCCACATTTTTGGTACGGTTCCAGCAAAGCAATGTTAGCCCTGTGTGTTAGGGCCTGGCTGCTTTGGAACGACGTTGTTCCACCACTGCCTGTGCTGTCGGCTGCTGTGACCACAATGTGCTCAACTGAAGGAGCAGGGAGATGGAGGCTCTGGTCATAAGCAGGGATGCTGAAGTTTGCTACCTGGTGAGAGGAGCTGGCTGGCCCTTGAGCACCTGGGAGGTTTTTGCTGTGACTGTAATACTCGTCACCGTTACTCGGTCCTGAAACATCCCAGCTAGAGGGCTCCACTTTCAGTTTCTTGGCACTGCAGAAGGCACTCGAAGATACTGATGGGGGGGAGAATACCTGCAGCTGAGAGGCCATACCTGAAGAGTAAACAAAGAGCTAATTAATGAATAAGCAATAAATATATCACACAACAAGAAATCACACTTGGGAAAAAGAGCCAGATTCACAGCTCTCTTTTTACCCACTAAGTAATAATGGCGAGTGTGTGACCTCACCAAATGTTTCCCAAAGGTAACAAGGGAGATGGCTCTTTCCATAGATTGCCTATAGCTACACACAAACTGCCACATCAGCAGCTAAACAATATTAGATTCTTGGTCACCCTGGCCAGCGGGTATCCATACATAGGGGGATCAGGAACAAAGAACAACAATAAATATTTTTTGGGAGGGTACAACTTTCCTTGTAAGTGGTCAAATGCCTAGTTACAAGGAAAACTGCTGAAATGTTACTTTAAGTAAGGTGTAGGAAACATGTGAGTTAATAAAATGGCTTTGAGTAGATGTGCTGGTTAAAGTATTGTGGGGTTAATATTTGCATTAATTTGCTGTTTCATAGGTTCTATCATTTCCTTTATGCTCTACTACATACAACATGTGTAATCCACCTGACCACGACCAAACAAGTTGTCCATCCTACCTCTACCGAAATACAAACCACCTACAATTAAGGACAGAAGTCACCATGCCGTCCCAATAATTACTCCTATAGACAGGTCATGCTTCCCAAAGGATACTCCCCAACCTCACTCCTAGAAGCAAGTCATCCCTACGGATACTTCCCAGATCCACAGCTTGACTGTGCTGAAAGTATTTAAAAAAAACAACAAACCAACTGGCTTTTAGTTCATTTCAAAGGTGCCTTGAGAACATGGAAGGAAAGCATTTTTTAAGTACAACTTAATGAAAACTAACACTGACTAGAAAACACTAACAAGCAGAAGGGAATATGCCTGACTTCACCATCAGTATTGCAAAAGGGACACCAACACTGCCTTCAATTAAGCAATGTCAGGATCAGATGCTACTAATGACTGGTGCTAATGAGCTGATGTTTTCTTTTACTGTAGCTTTACTGTTTATATTTTGCTAAATTTCAGTGCTGTGGTTCTATGTGACAAAAAGCAATATACATTAAAGTATTAGAAGTAAACACTAGCAATTTTATTATGGAAGGTTAAAGGTAAAGTCGCGGACGGCTTTGGGGTTGCATGCTCATCTGGCTCTATAGGCCAAGGGAGCCGGCGTTTGTCTGCAGACAGCTTCCGGGTGGTGTGGCCAGCATGACTAAGCTGCGTCTGGCAAACCAGAGCAGCGCACGGAAACGCTGTTTACCTTCCCGCCGGACCGGTACCTATTTATCTACTTTCACTTTGCCGTGCTTTCGAGCTGCTAGGTGGGCAGGAGCTGGGACAGAGCAACAGGAGCTCACCCCGTTGCAAGTCCTAGGTTCAGTGGTTTAGACCACAGCACCACCCGCATCCCGTATGGAAGGTTACCTTCAGATAAAAACATAAATGGTCTAACAGTTTATGTCTCAAGTGTCACAAAGAAAAGGCGGCAGACTCCAACTGGCCCTTCAAAGTCCAGTCCAAATATTTGCTTGTTGTCAGGCCTATTTAGGGGGACAGATTTTAAATCTGCAATGCCTTACAAAACAGGTTATGGACCAGCTACCAGCAGCCCAACTAGCATGGCCAATAGCTGGAGGTGAGGGGAATTATAGTTCAAAGCATTAGTTCAAAACATTCAGAGGGTAACCTTTTGATCATTTGCTTTTACAGTGAAAGGAATGTAAGGCTCAAGAAAGGAGACTGGCAAACACTCTCTCTAACTTGCAGAGCCTGAATTTTAGAAACACGTGTTTTTAAAGACTAACAGAGCATTTGCCAACAGCTATTCAAGCCACGTTTCCTGCAAGACCTTAGTAGTAGTGTGACACCAGACCACAGCCAATTCACACATGTTTCTTTTGACTTTGACTAAAGTTTAAATGCTTTCATAACTGTTCTCATTTTGCAAACTAGTTTCTCCATTTTGAAACAGTGGTTCATTCACAGAAGTGTTGACACTTTTGTGCCAGCTAACACTGAAAAGTTTGCTAGTAGAAACAATGCCAATGAAGCAACTTATTCCATCAATACAATTTGACATTGTCCATAGAGGACAATGACAAGCTTCTGCTTGTGTCATCATTCATAATGGTCCATGTAAGCTGCCACTCTTTTACTCACTGACCTGATTCACACAACACAAAGCACATGAACAAGCAAACATGCTGGTTCCCAAAGACAAGACTGGTTGCTTTGCTCCTCTTCTGAGCCAGATACTGTGGTTTGGTCTTAGCCATTATGTCAAAATGCAGGCTTGCCATTTTATTTCAATCCAGGAAAACCATAAGCCATAGTTAGTATTTATAGTTAATATTTATTCTATGGCTTACTACTCATGGTTTGTCTGGGGAGATAAACAGCAAGCCAAGGTTTGGACATAATGCTAAGCCAAACTATGGTTTAGCTCAGGGCAGTGCAGCAACAGCGTTAGAGAAGCAAAGGAGCCATGTTCTTCTCTCTGCGAATTCACATGTTTGCTCTTTCATATTAAGCTATTGTTTGGCTTACTGCTACAATTAATCTGGGCCAGTCAAAAGAGCAGCTCTGAAAAAAGTGTATCAATTTACTTAGTAGGGAGTTCTATGTAGGATTTTGGGTATGTCACTACATGCAGCTATGAAGACTGCCAAATTAACTCATTGTTGCCAGCGATGATGAGACACTATCCAGAGGAAGTTACACACACTTGAACAACCAATTTAAAGTATGCTTTGGTCTCTTCTAGACTGCACATATAGAATTCAAGTATGTCTCATCAGACATGTGGATTACCCCAACATGAAAACAGGGTGTTCCTTAAAATCTTTTGTGATGTGCTGGAAGACCAAGACAGTCAGAAAACAAGAAAACAGGACACAGGACAAAAGCCTGAGCCAAAGCAGCCATTTCAAAACCCTGCATCAGATTGCCAACTGAAGTGACACACGCATTACACAATATAAAGCTACCAATTCCTGGAAATAACAACTATCCTAAGTACTGACAGCCTAATGTTCAACTGGCTATTCTATTATCAATTTGAGCATTTAATGCAGGATGGCAAATGTGACCTAACAGGCATTACTGAAACCTGGTGGGATGAGAATCATGACTGGAATGTAAAAATTGAGGGGTATAACCTATTCAAAAGGAACAAACCAAACAGGTAGGAAAGAAGAAGAGCATTACATGTAAAGCATGTAAACACTTTTTAACAAATCCATGACTTGGAGAATTAAAGGCAGATTGAGAGTACATGGATAAAAATTGTAGGAGGGAAACAAAAGTGACCTGACTGCAGGTGTCTGCTATAAACCTTCAAGCCAGACCGAAGAGTGGATGGTGCCTTCCTACAGCAGATTACCAAACATTCAGAAAGGAGAGTTCTAGTAGTCATGGGAGACTTCAACTACCCTGATATATGCTGAAACTTTAACTCTGCCAAGAATCAACAAATTCCACCACCGGCAATTTCATTTCCCAGAAGATGGAAGAAGCAACATCTATTGGACCTCTTTCTCACCAACAGGGAGGAACTGATTGACAAAGTGGAAGTACTGGGAGGAAGTGATCATGTCCTCTCATGTTTCATTATACAGAGGCAAGGGAAAGCTGAGTGTAGTTGGACATGCACTCTGGGATTTCTGAAGGCTGATTTCAAAAAAATGAACTACGGGGAGAGAGATTCCATGATCAGAAATTCTAAAAGAGAAAGGAGTCCAATATGGATGGGGGTTACTTAAAGGTGTAATACTAAAGGCACAAAGGCAGACAATTCCAACAAGAAAGTAAAGTAGGAGGCATCAAGTGTGGCAGCATAAGATCTTATGGAAGATATTTAAGAACAGCATGTATTAGAAATGGAAGAAAGGAGAAATAATGAAGGAAGCGTATATAATTGCAGGGAGAAGTCAGGTGGGCCAAACCTCAGAATGAGCTCAGGCTTGCAAGAAAGGTGAAAAATACAAGAGGTTTCTTTGGCTATGTTTGAAGCAGAGAAACAACAAAAAAGTAGTAGTCTGCTGCATGGAGTAGTGCTATGGGTGATAGAGAGAAGGTGGAACTGCTTAACACCTACTTTGTCTTGTCTTCACCCAAAAGGAAAGCAGTGCCCAACCTGGTGATAACAAAATAAACGATGCAAGGAGAGAGCTGCAGCCGAAGATAGGAAAGAACACCTAGCTACTTTAAATGAATTCAAATCTTCAGGGCCTTGGAGAAGCTGTGAGGTTCCTACAGTCTGGGGGCAGGTAAATGTCCCCACCTTTAAAAAGCAGAGGAAAGAAGACCCAGGTGATCAGCTTAACAGTGATACCAGGAAGTAATAGTACCACTGTATTCTACCTTGGTCAGACCACACCTGGAATCCTGTGTCCAGTTCTCAGCACCACAATTCAAGAAGGATATTGACAAGCTGGAACGTGGGCAGAGGAGGGCAACTAAACTGTATTTCTTCCAGATACCGAGAACAGTAGTATGTTTAGTTTTTCTGAGATCAGCTAATCCATTTGTTCAAGCTGCCTCAGTGGATTAAATCAGGAGGGGTCTTCTCTTCCCCGCCCCCCAATTATTCTTTAACCTCTCACTGCAAACATCTTTCATATCTTACTGTACTTAAGCCAGGGTGTAGTAAAAGTGACTGCTCTGATCTCTAAACCAAGATAGCAATGTCTTGTACATACTACTTATTCAAGGGCAGATTAAAGGAGCAACATGAATGTTTTCTCTGTGATTTTGGCAAAGACTCAAGTGTTTTCAAGAGCTAAAATCCTTTCCAACAGTTTATTCCAACTCTGTCAGGAGCATGTTGCATGTAAAAACCAGTAGTTAAGAAGGGATAAGTTTGGCTCCAAGAGATGGCCCTTCAACTTCTCACTACCAGACAACATCTGTCCCCAAGGATAAATGCTGTACTAAAAACATCATATTAAGTTTCAAAGAACAACCACAACACAAGTTTCAATTTCAGTAAAACACTTTTATCAGTATCCAGGAAACTGTTTTAACTCCCACCCCATTTTGTATGTAAGCTAGGTCAGATGCCACATCGGCAATGTTCATGTTTTATAAAACTGATCTTAATGCAAAATGCTATCAGTAAAAATGAGCACATTTTTGCTGCCACCAATTCTTCTGCCATGTCAACAAGTTCACACTAGCCACTCATTACTTCTAAAAAAAATATTAGGGTGTGATCTCCACAGTGGCAGGTTCTGCATTTCAGGGTGTTGTGACCTAGATAGCTTTAGAGGTGGGACTGCACTAATACAGTGGTACCTCAGATACGCATCAGGTTACAGACTCCACCAACCCAGAAATATTACCTCGGGTTAAGAACTTTGCTTCAGAATGAGAACAGAAATAGTGCAGCGGCGGCGCAGCGGCAGCAGCAGGAGGCCCCATTAGCTAAAGTGGTGCTTCAGGTTAAAAACAGTTTCAGGTTAAGAACAGACCTCCAGAACGAATTAAGTTCTTAACCCAAGGTACCACTGTATAGCAGATTTCTATACAGACCTCTTCATTTACTACATCAACACACATCCAGAGCTTACGAAGATACCACAGTCCTAGACTACATAAATATTTGGTTCTGTACAAGGCATTTAGCTTTTGTTCATAAGCAGGAAGTAAAATTAAAGCTATATTCTGCTTCAAGCAATGTAGTACAATACTTGCTTTAAGATGTTAATATAAAGCATGTTATCCCTCATGCACTTTATGGGGTCTTAGAAAATATCTTTAAGTGCACATGCATCAGCCTCACCAACAAAATATCAATAATGAAAAAGAGCATTTTTAGAACCTTTATTCACTTCATAATGCCTACTCCAATTGATGATTTCAAGGCCCAAGTTGTTTTCTATGATAAACTCAGAGCCCCCATTATAGATCTTGCAAGCAAAGTGAACAATTGTTTTACAGCCTGAGGAACAAACTAAGGCCAGTTTTTTCTACAGTTGATAATATCAGGCTTTGGCTTTAGTCTAGCTACAGAATTTTGCTATGTATACCTGTACCCATCTAGGAACACTGAAACAGGTTATCTGGATACCCTCTGAATACAGCACTAAATACCTGCTTTGACTCCAAGCATAATCATTCTGTGATGGATTTAATAACAGCATTTGCAACAACAGAATGCCACAATGCATGCAAAGCATTTGAGTTTATCAAAACCACCAGCTGTAAACCAAGAGATCACTTGTTCAGCTACTAAAATGTCAAGTATTCTCATAGTGAAAACTTTTGCTATGGGAACAGAATCACAATACCACTGAGTGGAATTCATATGAGCACATTTTACTGAAGAATGACTTACGCTTTGGTTTTTCTACTTGTTAAAACACATTAACATTTTTGCTAAAGGTTCCAGTTCAGTTCAACAGAACCGCCTAGCAATCCCCCTGCAGCTCTCCCTCACAAAAATCTCCAAGTAGGGCTAGAGTCTCTAAACCATCCCATCCGAAACTCTGGAGAGCTGGTGCCTGCCAGTGTAGACAACATTAGCGAAAATGGACCAGTGATCTGACTCATTCTAAAGCAGCTTTTTATGTCCCCATAATCCACACCCAAGCGTCCTGTTTGAAGGATTCCAGCAAAGACAAGAAATGAAGACCATCTCAGAGCCTGTGCTGGACTATGGACTATCCACTCCCCACAACAGGGTCATTCTGCTACAGGGCAGGGTGAGGAGCAGCAGAAGACTTTTTAATATGATTTTCTTTAGTACGTTTTCTTAAAGTGTGCTTTAATATTTGTATAATAAATGTGCTTTAATATTTCTGATAAGCCACCCCACCTTGGAAGGATATATATCTTGAGAGGGGCGATTAAAACGTAAGTAGTAATTAAATGAATAAGCACAAGTACAGGAAAGCTGACGATGGCGGTAGAAGATGCCTCTGGAGTAAGTTCTGAAAAGGGACTTATTTCAATGAACTGTAGTTTAAACTTGGCAGAGGCGGAAGGCGGGGGGGGGGGGAGAAAATGTGAAAATGCCCTGCCCACTCACTAACCGGAGGCCCCAGCGACGGGCGTAATGGGAAAGGATTACACAGCGCCCCACTCGCTGGACATTTTTGTTTTTTACAGTGGTGAGGGGAGCCTCGTGAATTAACAGGTTGTTACGGAGCGGGGGCCGCATAAGCAAGAGAAATACAGGAACCCGAGACTCGCCCCTCGACGGGCGACTCCCCCACCTCCCAAGAGCTACGCGATCTGGCTGGCAACGCTCGGCCTCCGCCTCCCCAGCCAGGCCTCCGCGGCCCTCGAGTGCGACGATGGCGGCCTCTGAACCCGAGAAGCGACCTGCCCACAGCCCACGACAGAGCGCCGTCCCCGCCCGCTGCATCCCACCCCGAGGCCTCCCCGCGAGGGGCCGCGCGGGCACTTACTCGCCGCCGTTGGGGGTGTCTCAGCCACGGGCCGGGCCGGGAGCTGCCTGCCGGTGCCGGGGGACGAGCGGGCGCATCCTAGCCCCGGGACTCGGGGCCGGCCCGGGCAAGGGGGAGCGCGGCCGCCGCGGCCTTCTCGAGGCGGCCAGCACAGGGGCAGCCCCCGGGCCTCTCGGATGCCGCTGACGCCAGGCTTCGGCCCCCGTCGCCCGCCCGCCAGCGAGCCCGGCCCGGCCCCCGCTGCTCTTCCAGCCGCCGCGCCCTCTGGGCCCCTCCGCTCAGCCCAGCTGCTCCCGCTCCGTTCCGCGCCCCTCTCTCGACTGAGTCAGGCGGAGCCAGCCGAGCGCAGCACGCCAGCTAACGCCTCACGCTCCGAGCGCCGAGGCGGAAGCAGCCGAGCACCGAGGCGGGGATGCGAACAGCCGCTTTCTTTTTTCCCCTCCCCCCGCTCTCCACGTGATCAGCGGCGGTTGAGCCGCGCCGAGGAATCGAGGCTCGCCGTCGTGACGGGAGACATTTTCTCCGATTGTCGCGGCCGCGATACGTTACCAAAAACGCAAATCATAAGCACGCAGCCCCTCCCCAGGCACCCGGATCCATCTCATTTGGGAAGGAGGGGGTGGGGAAAAGATACAACCCTGGACGATCAGAGCCCAGATACTAGGTGCGTTTCCAATGGAAACGGCAAACCCCGCTGCCCTTGAAAGGAGCGCCTCCATGTTAAGTGCGCCAAGGCACAGGCCGAGAACATGGAGGGTTGGCTTCCCCGAGCCTAAACCCAGGAGAAGGGCCCTGGTGGCGGGACCTGCCGCCCGTGACGCAGCTGAGCATGGCCTGAGAGATCAGCCGGGGCACCTTGTTCGGGAGCGAGATCCGCCGGCCGCGGGGAGAGCCGCTTTGGGGCGCGCAGGCACGGGCAGACCGCCGTCCTCTTCCGCGGCTGCTTCGCCTGCAGCATCCTAAAGGAAAGGCTCCCCTTTGTGGCTTCACGCGCCACGTGGCTCCCCCGCCACAGCTCGACCCCGGCAAGCTGCGCAGCGCCGCACTTACTTCTTTTCCATTTCGACGTGGTTATCACCCCGCTATATTCAGTTCCTCGCGCGCGCCTTTTAGTTGCCATCTTCAAGCGGCTGAAGATCAGCTGAGCCCAAGTTCCCAAGTTTCTCGCCTCTGGATCGACACAGGTCCTCTCTCTCTGATCAAGCCCAACCGATCCGCCGAAGTCCTAGACAACGACTGAAAGGGATAGGAATCCACTCCGAACTTGCCTTCAGGATGATTCTAGAGTTCTTTGCGCTTCCAAACGGCCAACGAAGTATTTTTACCGGTCCTGAGAGCAACCGCAACCGGTGCTGGAAGAAACACCAGGCCATTTCTGGAGAAGGCGAGCCAGCCTTTATATAGTCGACTCTGGTCTCACCTGGCCAGAACAATACAATTCAAATGTAAATCACATCACGTTTTAGCGCCTTTGTGAATAAAGTTTTAAGTGCTTTCACGCTTAGTCCTACGGTCCAATCAACATTAACGTAGATCAGCCTTTTGAGGGGCAAATCTAATCAGCAAGAGTAGTTGCCAAGAGGGATAACGGAATATAGTAATATAATCTGTAGTTGCAAAAACTCTTAATGCTGTGATCCTGCCGTTTGGCTAATGCAAGGGAAGTTTAACGTTCTTGTAAATTGAAATCTGATGGTCATGAGATAACATGCTCGTTTATCATGGCTTCTACAAGCATTTAGCAATTCAGTAATTTGCCTAGGGCAAAGCTAAATAAAGTTTACTATCCTTATTTTACACATGGGTTCAACAAACAGTTCAACATTTCAACAGGGTACAAGTATACAGAACAAGTAGAAAGCCGCTCTGCCTCCATTATTCCCCTCTAAACAAAGTCAGTATCTGCAATAAAAATTAACAAAGATGTTAGTTTCAACTTAGAATTAATAAACACTGAAGGCTTTGCACTGCCTACAAAGGAATGGTTTGGGGGTTTTTTCCAGCTGGGGCTGGATGCTCTCTAGGCCAAACGCCAGGACCCTGCAGCTCAGGGATGCCCCAAATGACCACACAGATGATTGGGCAGCAGCAAACAAGGCTACTTCAGAGCCCATCAGGGCTCACACTATTCACTGCAGAAACCTTTCTTTCTTACTGTTTTATGGCCAAGAGACAGCTGGGCAGGCATGTACATAATGCTCTTCAAATAAAAAAACTTTTAAAATGTATTATTCTTTTCTACTACAAAATGGTGCTTATTCCCAAGTAAATTTATTTACCACCCAGGCAGGAGAAGCAAAGCTCATTTTGTTCCTGCAGTCATGATGCTATGATTTAAGTGTGTTTAAAATGCAAAACTGCACATGCTCAGAGCATGTTTTTAAAATCAGGGTTGGCATGCTTCCCCCCCCCTCAATGTGATAGCAGTGTGGGGGAGGACAAAAAAGAAGTGTTAATTTGGACCTTCACAACTGAAATATCTTTCCTTACAATATACGGGTTCAAGAAGAAAAGTGGTGCATTCTTCCCATTTCTACTTTCCAATACCATGTTTAGGAATAAAAATGATCACATTTTAGTCTAGAAACCCTTATCTAGTACAGCAGAGAAATGTCTGTGGGAATGGAAACAAAAACACTGTCCTTTCTGCCTCCCCCAAGGCCTGCACAGAAGTATTTTGTTATATATCCCCATTAGTGCTAAACTGCCCATTTTACTGTAACCTACTATCCTCTCTTGAGTACATCTCTCTTTTATAAACTGAAACATTACTTAAGAGTTTCAGGTGGAGTCTGTTAGGCACAGAAATAGCTGGGTTACTGAACCTTAAAAGCCCATTTCTCAGGTTGCTTCTAGACTTTACCCATGAGAGCAGTAAAGGCAAATGTCTTGTGCTTCCTGGGTCTGCCCCTCTCTGTCATGTCTAAAGTAGAAATTTGATGCAACCTTTTGCTGTGAGATGTACACGCTGTCCCCAAAAGTTCCTGCTTTTTAATAGCTGCATGAGATGCTAAAACTGTAAAGCTTTCCTAGCATAGGTATATAGTAGTGGAGGAGAAAGCATCACCTATTTAGTATCTTGCTGTGCAGCAGCTAAAGACACAAGGTCCAGCTACTACATGCAACATAACACACCAAGCAAATGGTTTCTAGCTCAGTGTTAGAGCATCTACTTTGCATACTAGAAAGTCCTGGGTTCAATCCCAGGCAGCTCCATGTAGGGCTGGGAGAGAACCAGTTCTGAAATCCTGGGGAGCAGCTGCGAATTGGTGTCGATCATACTAATGCGAGATGGATCAATGGTCTGACTCAGGATAAGGCAGTTTCCTTTTTGGTTATTTTCTAGTGTAGGTATAAAAAAGGTAAAGGACCTCTGACAGTTAAGCCCAGTCGCGAACGACTCTGGGGTTGCAGCGCTCATCTCGCTTTGCTGACCAAGGGAGCTGACGTTTGTCCGCAGACAGTTTTCCCAGGTCCTGTGGCCAACATGAGTAAGCCACTTCTGGCGAAAGCAGAGCAGCACACAGAAATGCCACTTACCTTCCTGCTGAAGCAGTACCTATTTATCTACTTGCACTTTGATGTGCTTTTGAACTGCTAGGTTGGCAGGAGCTGGGACCGAACAACAGGAGTTCACCCCGTCGCGGGGATTCAAACCACTGACCTTCCAATCGGCAAGCCCTAGGATCAGTGGTAGCAAGTTCTATTGATAGCAGAATTAGTGGCTGCCCTCCAGATCTTTAATATACATTCAAAGCTCACACACAGTACACCCCAAGGATTAGGAGAATTACAATTAGCTAAGAAAGGCATTTTAGGTCTGTGAGAAGTAAAGTACAGTTCCCAGGATTCTTTGGGCAGGGGTAAATATGCTTTAAAGGTATGGTGTGTATGCAACCAGTGTCACATTCTTGCGAGCGATGTTTAACTCTGTTTCCCCTAAATTGGAGTAAGAAAAGTCAAAAGCATCTGAATAGTAGCCTTTTCACCCTCCTGAAAGCAGTGTTGCAACCAGAAACAGTATTTTACAGGGGAAAGTGGCTGAAAGTTAAACCCTTAACAAGAACACATCCAGCTGCAATCTAGGGATTGCAGAGGGGACCAGGGAGCTGCTAAGAAAACTAGAACCATTTCTAGTCTCTCTGCCAACCTAATAGTCAAAGTCCTAAACCAGGGGTAGGCAGCCTAAGGCCCGGGGGCCGGATGTGGCCCAATAGCCTTCTCAATCCGGCCCGCGGACGGTCCAGGAATCAGTGTGTTTTTACATGAGTAGACTGTGTCCTTTTATTTTAAATGCATCTCTGGGTTATTTGTGGGGCCTGCCTGGTGTTTTTAAATGAGTTGAATGTGTGCTTTTATTTAGAATGCATCTCTGGGTTATTTGTGGGGCACAGGAATTCGTTCATATTTTTTTTCAAAATATAGTCCAGGGCCCACCCCGTGGTCTGAGGGATGGTGGACCGGCCCCCTGCTGAAAAAGTTTGCTGACCCCTGTCTGAACCTTTGAAATTCATAAAGTTTCCTTCCAAGCCAGTGCTTCACCTGGGATAGAGGCATTAACATGATAAAAAGGGGTTGATGGCCCATCTGAGAGGAATTCTTGGGCCTGGGCAGACAGAGGTTGCCATGGTGATGAAGTGTGTGTTTGAGGTAACAGGAAAAGAGAATCTTTAGAGCAAGGTGTGTTGGGAAAAAGAAAGAGAGAAAAAAGACTGGGATCCATCTTGTATAGGTTCTCTGAAGGCTGGCCGGGAGAGATGCCAATGGCTCCACTGCTGATGGTCTGGGCACTGACCAGATTCAAACCTGCTTTCCTTCAGCAAACTGGCTGCATCATGTTTTTTCAGAGTATAGCACATGAGTGTGTTGTAAACAAAAATCTGCCCTTTTCCCTTATGGAGTATCCAAGAGCCCATATAGAGTCCTTACGTAGGTTCCCTATTGGTAGGAGAAAATAACAGAGGCCAACCAGAGAATATTGAGAAGCAAAGCAGCTAGTAAGCCTGATCTTTATTCATCTGTTGCAACAGGGTCCTCACTCCCCACACGCAGGAGGGAGGAGGAACCCAGAACAATGGCGGGCAAGGCTTTATATAGACATTTTTAATTCTCTGCCCTGGAGCTCAAGACCACCCCTCCATACATCACAGAAGGGGTGTAACCCAAGACCACCCCCCACAAACATCATATCTGCATCACAGAAAAGGTGTTATTTTTCCTGTCTGCCAGGTTATCTGATTGCCTTTCCTGATAGCCTTCTCTGATAGTCTATCACCCATTAAAATGCTGATTACTCTATTCCTGAGACAATGGGAAAGCTCCCTGACCCCGCCCCCTCCTTGCAGAGAAAACATTTGGTCAGTTTGGGAATCAAAAATGATTTCAGGTCAGTCTTCCTGTGCTGATCTATGTAAATGCTTGGTTGGTACATTTATGAACATTTAACATATATCTAAGACCTCAAAATTCCTATCACAATATCCCTCCTTTGGGGGTAGAATTTTTCTTTAAAAAAATTTCCCCACAAATAATAACATGGTACGTTGTAAATGGATACCTTTGTGTAAATATAGGATATCACATAAAAATAACACATGTTGCATTTTGCTACTGAATTACTTGCGGCATTCTAACACTTTGGAAGAAACATTTACTCAATAGTGGTCTATGCTTTTCACTTAGCAGGAAGGTCCAATAACGATTGGAAATGCAGTTTGTTTTGTTTCTGCCTTTTTTGTGTGTTCTCAGGTGTCAAACTTAGCTCTCCTCCATCATACCACAGCAGCAACAATGTCTGGTGAATCCCTTTAGGGCTTTCATATAGACCATGTCCCCTTGCCATAGGTTTGGACAGGTTTGGACCTGTCGTGAGAGAGATGTCCTTGCCTTGACCTTTCTATGGGATTTTATTATTATAGGCTCTGGTCTTGCACTGTGGGGAAGTTGCTCACTTGCCCTTAAGGGACAAAAAAGCTAGTTGCAGTCTGGGTACACTTGTCGAATTCAAACTGAGTCCAATTGGAATTTAGATAGCACCATGGTTCTCAACTTTTCAAACCAATCTGTAAAAAAAATTATAAAAAGGGCACATGTCCAAATTAGTCAATTTAACTCTATAAGGGATCATTCCTGCTAAATCAAGGCATATATACCTTCATGCATCTGCTGTTTCCTGGATCCTGAAGCTTGCCTTTTTTGTGAAATGAATTAAAATAATTTAAAAATGGTTAGAGAAGGTTGGCACACTGCAGAGTGCCAGGTGGAACATGATCTAATCTAAATACTGGATTACGCAATAGCCTATTAGAAGGCTCAAAATGCATGAGAATCCTCCACTGGTGTAAGCAATAAGACACTATACATTGAACATAAAAACAATTACAGTACACACAATAATTGGGTCCCCCCTTTGTGGAACTAACATACTGTCAGACACATTTTAGCATTCCTACATAATATCACACAACAAACTAATTAAATATCAGTTGCATATCTTGAGGCAATCGTGATCTTTTACATATCTTTTCAGTCCTGGAGCACAGAGTCTTGAGGTTTAAAAGTGAGAAAGTGTCCTTGCAATTCAACTTTTCCTCCTTTGTCAGCCCCCCTGGAGCAAAGGACACATAAGGGTGATTTCCCTCAATGGTTCCAAGTTTTTACATAAAGAAATTTGAATAATTTTTTTTCCTGCAGGGCAGAACTTTGTCAGTTCTTGGTTTAAACCAGGTGGGAAGTAAGCACCAACCGGGCTTCTTTCCCATCAGGAGTCTGCGGGTTCATTTCTTTTGAATGAGGTGCACCCATTTTCTAAGACTGACAAACTCTGAAAAGGGGAGCCTAGAAAAACTCCTTAACTGGGAACATGGGTAAGCTCGAAAAGGGGTTGGACCTGGGCAAATTCTGAAGGGTCTGAAACAAGGGGAAACCTGGACAAACTCCGAAAAAGGGGGTCTGGGGAAATCTGGACAAGCTCTGAAAGGGAAACCCTCCCTCTTTTAATTTCTGTTTATCCCAAACCACTACCCGTGTTTCCTACTTATACTCACTTCCGTATGCGCTGTCCTGGCGACCCTGGGATCTCTTGACTGGTTGTTTAAGGCCGGCCTGATCAAGCTTTGCTTCCTCTGGTTAACCCCACTGGACCTCCAGTTATTTCCAGACCCTGGGATCGCTGGAGGACTGGTTATTCCTCCTGGCAAACTGGCTGGTGCGCGCTGGATCACCAGTCCTTCCTTGCTCCCAGAATCCGGGTAACCAAATGTCCCTTCGTGTGTCGCCATCTGTTGTAAACGAAAATCTGCCCTTTTCCCTTATGGGGTATCCAAGAGCCCATATAGAGTCCTTACGTAGGTTCCCTATTGGTAGGAGAAAATTACAGAGGCCAACCAGAAATTCCTTTCACAAGCACAAGATATGAACTTTCCTGTTATTTGTATGTCTGTCTGTATTATACATACATATTACATTCACAAGGGCCAAATAGGTATGATGACACTATGTTGGGGTTTCCTCCCCCTAACCCCTACTATATTTCCAAAAAGTGAATAGCCAGACACAAAAGTTGTTGAGTTGTTGAGCTTTTTTTGGCAAAGATTTTGACAAACTGCTTCCGGCTATGTCTGGGAAATTCTGGACGTATTTCCTACTATGTGGAGATTAGAACATACCTCTCATGAGTAGAAATGAGTACTTTTTCAAGGTATTTGATTGGTTATTAAAAGCCACCAAGATTAGAATGTTATGCACATACTTACATAGGTAAAATTCCTGTTGAGTTTAGTGGGACATTTCTGAGTACACATGCATATAATCGAGCTAAAGCACAGGAAAACTACAATCAATTTATATAGGTCAGAAATTTAATTGTAATCATGGCTTCAGGGGACCCCCAATAATATTATTATTATTATTATTTAGTATGCAGTTGGACAGAAAATGTGGTTGGGGGGGAAATGCAACTGGAAAGCTGATTATGTCCAGTCTGAAAAATGGGAGGGGAGTTACATATTAGGCAAATGTGTTTATTAAGATCTTAAATAACAGACAATTAAAGGAACAGCACGTACATAGATTATATAAGTGTAAAATGTTCTCAGTTTTCAGATTTAAAACAAACTGCCCAGGCCATATTAAAACACCACCTTTTTGGCCAGATCCTCATCTTCTTCACCTTCAAGCAGGTTGATATCATACTGTAGTTTGTTTTAGAGGCAACT